AACAATGTAACAAAGGGTTAGAAACACAGATCTATCTATCTATCTATCTATCTATCTATCTATCTCAAGAGAGAATGGAAATGTGGGGAACAGAGTGGGGGATGATATACAGCAATGGTCATGCCCAGGAATCGAACCAGCAACTACTATAGGACTATAGCATCTGTGTGTTCGATCTCTAACCACTTGGCTCTGTGCTGGACTGGACCAGCACCCTGTAAATAATGATGTTACTAAGTCGGTTGAGCCTCTGAGGTCTCGAAGACTGCGCAAATAGTTGTGCAAAAGTCAACTTAAACAGGTCCAGTCCAACGGAAGTTGAAGCATGTCTTTACTTGTTATCAATGACATGCAGGGATGGGCTGCAGCCCACCTTGAATATCCCTGTCCTTGTCCTAGATCCTGGTCTCTGGGTAAGTTGTCGCAGCTGGAATTCAAGATGTCAGTATTGAAGCCCATTAGACCTGGTCTGATGACAGCGAACAGCAAACGCTTCTTCAAGGCTTCATGTGCAGGTAAAGAGGCAATAAACAAAATCTGAGACCATTTCCCTGTCAGATTTATATCAGTATGTTTGTTTCTATTGGGTGGGAAATGCTTAATACTTAAAAAGAGAAAAAAAAAAACTCCTGGATTGCATTAAGTCAATTTTCTGTCCCCACAGTCCAGATGTCCAGAACACACTGATGGAGATTTCCAAGACTTTAAAAAAGACAAAAGATGATGCTTTAGGCGTCTGTTTTCAATACAAAACAATCAAACCGTTTTTTTGCCAAACAGAAACTTTCATGCTGGAAAAATTTCTCTTAATCCAGCAACTAAAAATTTTTACTCATTAATTTCTCATAATGCATCCAGAAAACTCTTGTTGATTTATCAGCCATTATTTACAGCCAACGAACACTTTTTAAAAACACTTCCTCACCAGATGGTTGCAGAAAATGTGGAGTTGGCGCCGCACACTGAGTGACACCTGCAAGCTGGTTCAGGCAGGCAACTCGAGCCGCACTGATTTCATACTCGACACGCTTCACTCTGATCAATCACCTGAGGAACATATCCTCCAAAAATCCGGTGCAAGTTTTCTGGTCTCTCCCTCTGCTTTGTTATTGCAACTGCTGCCCCGAACCAGAGCTGTGCTGCAAACTTTCAGCTCCATCACCTCCCCAACACCCACCTGCAGGCTCCAACTACCGGTTCAGATATCTCACTTATCAGATTTCTGCGAATAAATTCAAACCCTGAGGAGTGATGAGGTTAGAACCTATATGCCAGACACAAACCGTGTTCAGCTGCTGTAATAAACATTTCAAACCATTAAAACTTGAGCTAACTGACCAGTTTGGGGCAAACATGAAGTTCTAGTTTGGAGTCCAAAGTTCCCCGATTATCGTTTTCCTTGTATTTTTGAAATAATAAAACCAACAAGCGCTAGTGTTTGAAGTTTTTAATGTCAAAGTCAAACTTTTACATGATTCATCTTCGTACCAAACCTTTCATCAACAGCACCCCTCCCTCCTCATCATAGCAAATGCAATTAGTTCATTAAGTAATTACAGGGAAGGGGCAGCAAAAAAAGACAGAGCCAGCCCCATAAGATAAGAAAACAAAGAAGAAGAAAATAAAATTACAGTTTTTTTTCTTTTCATTTTCTTCTCAAGTGCAGATTCAAAGACCTTAAGCATGCCATAGTCTGTTATGGTTTCCAGTTGTCTGTTTCTACAGTGTAGTTTTATCTGTACATGGCTATAAGAGTAACAGCACTAGGGGATGACAGGTTCATGATGTGCGCTGAAGTCTCTTTTTCTAAAAAGTCTCGGTTTCAATGGGTGATACATCTCAGATGTTGCACTCTTCTCTGTCTCCCCTCTGTGTTTTTGCAGTACACCGAAACGTAGTCATGTTTAAACGTGCAGTATAAAAAAGATACACACCAACACAGGTTCATTTACAAGTTCCCTTAAATCCAGATGGAAGGGTTTGAAAGGTGCCATAATGGAACTGCCTTAAAACAGCAGTTTGAAGAAAAAATATCTGCAACGTTAAAGAAGCAAGGCTGTGTCGAGAGTCTCTTCCCAGAACAGAAAAACTGGACATTGCTTCTTCAAGACCTTTTTGTGGGATTAAACTCAGCGATCTGAACTCCTTCTCCCAGAGAAAAGAGTCGGTGTCCTTCTGTCTCTCAGCGTCCTTACCCTGCAGGATGTTTGTGATTGTTTTCACCAATCCCTTTTCAATGTGAACACTCCACGGACAGATTAACTCCACATGTTGAGGCCTTGAGTTTTGTTTCATCCTAAGCACAGTCTCTCAATAACAGAGCTCAGTAAACAGCCATGCTGGGGATTTGAGGGTAATGACGGCTTAGGGAGTAAGTACATCAGTGGCCTAAAATGAGCTAAAAGGGGTCAGAGACTGAGCGGTGAAGTTATGTGAAGGTATAGAAAATTATCGTCTAGAGCTCAACAACTGCTCGGCCCGAGGACACCCATCTTCTGTGGCAAAGCTGGACACGATTACCTACGCGTACAAATCTGTTCGTTTTTGGAAAGTCCAGCAGAAACAGTCGGCGGGTTTGTGTTAAACATTGTCGCACATCTTACCTGAGTGTTGCTCTCTCTTTCTGATTAACTCTGTGCAATCTTACATCCATAATGTAGCTCATTTTTAACGAACACGTCTCATTTCCACTTATCTGATCCCAAACAACCAGAAAAAAAAAAGGAGGGACACACTTTCTGGCATTTTCCAACAGTGTTACATTTGCCAATCCAGACATTAATGAGATCAGTGCAGATCAAGAGAGGAGAAAGGAAACTCATTAAGACCACAGGGACGACCTAACCCTATTATCCCTATCACACCACTGAACCACACACTGATGATGGGAATTAAGATGTGCTGGCCTCGATCCACACCCACCCTTCAGCCCAGTGCAGCAGAGTGGATGTGGAGTTGTGCAGTAGCTGCTGGGAAGGGCGAACGTGAAGGAGTCTGTTATCTGTGTCGTTCGGCACAGCGGTTTTTGGGCGTGTTCCGGTCGGCACTGAGCGGTGAAAAGGGGTGCAGGAGAACTCTGCATTCTCGCCGCACTGTGTTCTTATTTGTAGCAGTCTGCGGCACACTTGGTGCCAACCCTGGACCTGGGAAAGTGAGCGAGATTTGAGGCCCAAGGTTAACCCCAACGCAGGCTGAACAATGAACTAAGGAACAGTCTGATCCACTGATGCTAACTCCCTTGTCACCATCATTATCTTCATTTCCCCGTTATCGCACACACAGAGCACAGATGTTTCCAAATAGGCGTGGTATCCAAAAAGGCGTGTGGTTTTAAAAAGAGAGAAAAAAAGTTAGCATTAGCTGTCTTTCATGCAGAGTTGTTTTTCTTTTTTTCCTTTTTTTCTTACACAAATTTGGTTTTTCTATAAGTCCTACTTACAGTTTTTGCGGAATATCTCATATTCCCACATTGTCTTATCATTACATACAGTAGATGTTGTGTTTGAAATTCCCTTTAATGTCGCCCCCCCCACACATCAGTCAGAGAGATCAGTAGTTATTTAAATACATTTCATGTTTAAATACTGGCTGGAGGGGAGCAGGCAAAATGCTACAGCTAGATCAATGAGAGGCAATATGTTAAAAAATCATGATAAGAGCACATACACACATAGTGCATATGAATTTCACATATCTAAATATGGATTTATAGTTCTACTTATGCTCTATTATGCTGCATGTGTGAGTGTGTGTGTCTTCATATGAAAGTGAATGCAAGTTACCATAGAAATTATGTTACACAGCCACTGAATCATGTCATAAAATGTGGCCCTATGCATGTTCACATTCTGTAAATGCTCCGTATGAGTTTGATCTTCATGCCTACATGTGTGTGTTTAAGTGTGTGCATGCTTGTGTGTGTGTGTGTGTGTTAGTGTGTATGAGTGTGTGCGTTTGAATGAATGTATATGGTACATGAACAATGTCAGGATACAGTAGGTGTACAGTAATTCAGCACCTCTGTCTACTCTGAAATGTCAGACAGCAGCGTAGAGATAACCGCCGTTTCGTCAAATACACACATACATTATATACATACAGACTGGGTGTGAAGGCAAAACAATAAAGACGTTTTTTCTCACTGTGGCACTACTGACACGCTTTGAGAATCTTGTTTTTCTGGATGGTTACATTAGATTACTGTGAAGAAAGTCCTTTTTCTTACACTCTTCCAGTTTGTGTTGAAGAACAATACCTGATTTTGGAGATCATTTATTTTACAGTGTATCTGTACAGTGGTCACACTTTTGTGAGTGTTTTCATCCCTCGTTTATGACTTGTAAGACTCTCAGTAGTTTGATTGGTTAATAACCTCATCTCGTGATATGATAGAGTTGATTGGGAATTAGATAGTTTGATTGATTTGAATTAAATCCAAATAACTCGATCAAAGACCTGTTAACTCCTCTTCATCTATTCTGAGTAGATAAGACCTCGGTGGTTTTCCAGCAGATGGTTTACCGATTGAGTCCAGATCTCGCCTGCCGTAGCCTCGGCGAAAGTTTTTCTGTAAGAGCCGAGTCATTTATAGCATCAGTTTTTGCTCCGTCTGCATCTCCTCGTCTCCACACTGTGGCAGATGGTCAGGCATGCATCAGATTCAGGTAGAAAGAAGAAGAAATGAAGTTGTCCTCCTGCGCATGGACATAATAGGATCAGTGCCTGCAGGCATCTTTGACCAGTTGTTAAAAAAAAGGTTTTTTTTAGAAAGTCAGAGCTCACAGGAGAGTTGATTCATCACTCGCTTAAGTTTAAGTGCCTATAAATATTAGTCAGAATCCAAAAGTTCCAATTTGATATTTAGCTTATCTTCTCTGACATTTTCTTATCTTCACAGGTTTAAAAGGCAGTCCAATCTGATGACCCGCCGCTTAGATTTAACCCTCCATCTTCTTCAGAGCGAGGGACGTCTCGGTGAAGATTGCTCCTATGCAGGGCTGTCACAGGTAGACCTCGCGGCGCGACAACGTGAGGCAGGATGCGGTCTTGTAGTCCCCTCCTGTCCGCGTCAGTGGTATGACCTCTGGTGGGTTCTGGCCCTCTCCTCCATCCTCCTCAGGCTGGCGCCTCCCAAAGCCTGCGCTGCTGAATGTGTCGTAGGACGCCGAAGTCATCTTGCGGTTCAGAAGGTTACGGTTGTGATCGCCCATGTTCCTGTTGCGGTCTCCCCTCCCCAGGGTGCCGAGAGGATCCCCGTTGGCTAAGGGTAACCTCTGAGCCTCTCCGCTCACCACCCCCGGTTCGGAGCTCCCCGCGCTGCCGGCACTCTCGCTGTCACTCTCGTGGTCATTACCGCGGAGATTGTTGTTGTCGTCTCCCGGGGCGAAGGTAGAAAGCCGCGGGGGGTCGCTGCCATGGCGCTGGCGTCGAGGTGAGCGATGAACAGGCATCCAACAGGTGTCTGAGTGGCCGAACTCATCACACTCCCTGGTGCACTTTCCTGTCAGAGCGACGTCCGGCAGCTGCCTGGCGTCTGGATAAGCAGAAAAAAATACGAGAAATATTACATTTCCTGTCATTTTGCATCCTTTGAAAGTTTGAAAAAAAAAAAGCACACGCATGAAATGAAGCCTTTCACCATTCAGTAAAAAAGAAAAATGGATTTAGAAATGTGGGACAAAAGGTTAGAAGGGAGGGGAAAGAAAATGAGAACGGCAGAGAAGGCATGAAAATCGCTGTTAAAGCAAAACAGAAAGTGCTGACTGCAGAAGAACACGCTCAAAAAACTTCACACACACTACACGCTCTCAGCATTTCACAAGAGGTGAGAGGTGAGGTCACAACACACAACATGCATCGCCAAAATTAAGATCATCGTCACAAATTTGGTTGAAAATTGCTGTTACATGCAGGGAAAATACTAAATATATCAGCCCATGAATGTTGGGTCATAAGGTTAGTGAGGCCTCCTGGGACTGGAAGCTGATGTCTTACATGAACTGAGGTCAAAGGTCATGGATATTATCTATGAAGAGCACTCATTTATGAATCAATAGTGACATTTTAATAAGTGGGGACAGGTCTTCTAATGATGATAGATGAGGTTGATGTGAGGTCCCTGCAAATGACTAAAACGGCGCCGCGGTCCGGATAGTTAAAGGTAACGACAAATCATCAGGTGAGAAAGTGAAAACATACAATTATTCCGCGCTCATTCCTTGAAATTCCTCTTAACGTGAAATTAAAAACAAGAAATGTAATATTTATGTTTAATTCCAAACTAATTCCCGTCTTGTTGCCTGCCTACAGCCACAGAATGGAAACCAAACAAGCAGATAATTAAACAGCATAATTACAACCAACACAAAGAATCCTCTGTTCAAATCCCTCTCTCCATCTGACCGAGAAAGAAAAAATGATTTAACACCACAGAATCCTCAAGACTTCATATATTGCTGAAAAGGCACCCATTTAACCCAAGCCAAGTACAATCAGTCAGTAAGGTTGCAGTGACCTTGCTTCTGTTGTTCGGCAGCTCTGGCATGTCAACATTCAAAAGAGGAAAAGAATAAATGAAAACCCTTTTTGCTTCGCTGAATCCTTGGAAAAGAACTGGTAGAATAGGGCAAAAAAACACAACTGTGTGGGTGAAAGGAAAGATTTGGGCGGCTGACATACGGCAAGGCCACCAAGGAGGCTCTCGTACGACATACTACACACATGCACGCACACACATGCACGCACATACACAGGACAACTGCTGTATTCTATTAAACATTCTCTATGCTTGGCTGAGAAAAAGGTGAGACCTTAACAGCGAGTCAAGGTTGCTGAAGTCTTTGTCGCTTGCGTGTGTTTGAGTGAAAGAGTGTGTAATAAAAATATGTCAATATTAAGTGTGTAGGTATGTGTAGTTTTGAAGGGTGAAATATGTCAGTTATCATTTAGATGATTGGAGGGACGTCTTCACTGAAAATCTGAATGAGCTCATTAGTTTTCTTGCCTTGTGGCGGGATGATTTGTGCGTGTTTGTGTTTTTTGTGTGGTTACTCTCACCATTCTCCACATGCTCCTCCTCCCCCACGCTGCCCTCTGGTGTGGTCCGCTCGTAGCCCTCCTCTGGCAGGGGCAGGGCTCCCAGCCGCGGCCCTGATGAGCTCTTGCTGCTCGGCGTCTCTGAGTCCTCCAGGCCACTGTCATAGCAACCGCCATCCTGGGGCTGGCTGACTACCGAGAAGGTCACCCGGCGAAGGGTCCCCTGTAGGGAAACATACACACACACAATATGGGCTTAATCATCCAGGACTCCTAATCTGAGATTCTAAATCTAAGGGATTAGGCGGTTGGTGGGCACGCTTTGTGCAAAGACATATTGAGATTATGTGATCGTGTTCGCCTTGATTATGAGCTTAGCTGCTACAATGCCGGGTAATAGTCCTCAACCAATCAAGGCTGTGTTTCAAAGTTTTCAGTTGGCTTTTAATCCCAGTTTAGATTAATGCAGATGGAGAGGGGTGATGTTTACAAAACTCCAGCCGCACTGGAGACAGTTTCCTCTCATCTGGAGTGGGTCCCAGTAATAGCATTGGGGTGATGTTAAGTCCACTCTCTGAAACACTTAGTTGATTGAAATACAAGTAAGAGAAAAGAGTGAATGACTATCGGGTGATTTTTCTCTATTTGTTTCTTTCTAATCCAGTTGAAAAACAAAAACAGCAAATGCAGCTGTCTAAGTGGTTTAGTCTTAGATCTGATTCCTGACTGAGTTCTGTATTTGTCTGGAATATTCCTTTTTTTCTCTTCATTTGTTTTACTTATTGTGATTTTGCTTTTCATAATGCACTGGCTGAAAGGAAGACTCTGTATTAGAGATGTTTTCACGCCATTTTACCTCCATTACACCAAACCACCTGCTGGTTTTGACTGACACTCCACTTTCTGCGCGCACCAAACTGTCACTTTTTATTTCACTCACCATATAATTATATAAAAAAGGAGATTTGTAGAAGGCCAAGTGGTTATGGTGCCAGATTTTTCATTGATATCTCTTACTGAATTTTTGGTAATACTGAAAGCTGACACTAATACTGGTCACAATAAGAAAGCAACTCTACTTGAACCGATGAGTTAAAGGGATATTCTGGTGTAAAATTAATTCAGGGTCAAACACACAGCCCTCTTGAGAGATGAATGTGACCGACTGCTTGCTTCTCTAGTTAAACCAACTTTAGTAACAACCGCACGATAGCAATACACAGCGGTCTGAGGAGCCATAAACAAACCTCAACCAAAACGCCACTCTATAGCCACAAATAATTATCATTACTTTAATAATTCCTTGAAGTAATAATCACCATATTAATCATTTTACAGACGCGTTAGTTCTTCTGCCTTAGAGTCTCGGTCTGATTGCATTTCTATGAAGAAATGATCATAAATGTTCTTCCATGAGCTGCTTCACCCCGCTGTTGTCTGTAATGGACTGGCCCGAGGTCTTACTACAGACAAGCGGCTGCTGGAAGAGAGTGGGTAAGTTGTGTTTAGTCTCTTTGCTAAAGAAATCAGTCAAAGTTAAAAAGATGTTTGGTGTCTAGTACTATGGCTGTGACCCTTTATGTCCTGTTGATGAAGTTAGGTGCTGTTCTGAGCATTATTTGTGTCTATAGAGTGGCGTTTTGGTTGAGGTTTGTTTATGGCTCCTCAGACTGCTGTGTATTTCTATCCTGTGGTCGTTACTAAAGTTGGTAAAACTAGAGAAGCAAGCGGTCGGCAGCATTCATCTCTCCAGGGGGTGTCTAACTCGGTGTTACGTTGTGTTTGACCCTTAATTAATTTTACGCCGAAATATTTCTTCAAGGTTATTTGGATCTGATTTAAAAAATAACCGTTTTAAAATGGAGCTGTAAAGATTGAAATTTAACCACAAGGCTTTAAAGGAAAATTGCTCTGATGACTGTGAATTTAAACAATCAGGCACTGCACCAACAGTGTCAAAACCCTGTGAAGGAAGCAGGGTCGATTCAGCTACGCCCCCCATTATTCACTCAAACTGAGCATCACACCTGCTGTTCAACAAACACGCACAAATTCACCCCCAGCGCATTTAACAGAGCTGTTTTCTTTCTGAAGAGGACAAGAAGGCTTTAAAAAGTCCACGCTGAGAGAATATCAGAGAGAGTTAAATGACTCTGTCTGGCCGGGAGGGATCACTCTGCGACAGGGAGCCCATTTCTATACAACACCCCCCCTATCTCCTGGCATACTCATTTATCTACTCGCAGAAATTATGACCCTTTCAAATTAGATCTGCTTTGAAACGTGCAGCGCACAGAGAGGAAGTAAGGGAACAGAGGGGAGACACAGATTAGGGCGGAAAAACTTCAGCTCTGAATGTTGCCTTGGAATAATCTGCAGGGAAACTGATGGACGGCTGGCATGAAAGGCAAACCCTGAACCAATTCTTTTTTTACTCCCAGAGAAAAAAAGGAAATAGTCAAACATTTCACCTCCTGAACGTGCAAGACAAGACAAGACAGGAACACAGCGAAATTAATTAAGCAGAAGTGGGAAATGAACGAAGCTCTTGTTTCTTCCAGCATTTCTGAACAAGGTTTAAAAGAGAGAAGGATAAGAGAGTAAATCAGACGGCAGGGAGCACACGCAGGAATGAGGAAGAGGAAGAAGAATTATTGGAGCCTAATGGGAAAGCTGCAGTTCTTGGAAACTCAGTGTCTTCATCTTAACTCTCTACAGAGAGAGCGATGTATTTTTAGAGGAGATGAAGCAGTCCAACCTCTTTTCCACCCGTTCAGACTAGGGGGAATGGCACAGAGAGGGAAAAGTGGGTGAGAAAGTGTAAGTGGGTGAGCACAGACAGTAGAAGAGAACATGAAAGGATCATTTTTGTGTTTTTGCGACGACAAAAAGAAGTTATTTGTTCCCTCAGCAGGATGAGGTCAGCAATGCCGACATCAACTACAACTAATTCCTCTGTTTCTTTAATTAACAGGCTGTCAGAACTGTTTCATTTCTAGTGTTTCAGCACTCAGGCTGAATGTGTCTTCATGATCATAGAATAACTATTTCATGATAATAATTATTTTTTCTGATGGGGAGGGAAGATTTCCTCCACAGACATCCTCTCCTCTTAGCTTCCTGTTTGGTTTAACATAAAACAAGCGAGTAGTTTGGATTATTGTTAGTCCTAGTTTGCCTCTCTCATGTATTGCCAGTAAAACTGAGTCACCGTCACTCTTTGAAACAGCCAGAAGGTCTTTCTAAAACACTTACTGTGTTCTGCAGCTATTTACAGAATCCCAAAACACTTTTACCCACAAAGAAAGGAAAATATTCCATATTTCACACACTCTATTTCGACTCTTTCTAAAGTGGCACCTGTCTTTTGAAATTCCACAGAGGCTGGCGAGAGTTTACAGTTGTCCCTCATTTTTTACATTTCAAACCAGAAATGTGTAAATTTTAGATTACTTTGCAGTACAATCTGAGAAATAATGCTCCTTTCCTAAAAATGTAATATTTTGTTTTACTGATATTTCAGAGAAACAGAAAGTACATCTGCCTTTGTTATTTTTTAGCATACCACTATTAGAGAAATGTACTGAGCCCTGGAAGTCCTGCAAAGGTCATGGTTTTACCTTGTGCACACATGTTATGACTGAATGGCAGATAATGACTTTCAATGATAAATGATGGAAATTAAAAGAGTGGAAATGTTATCACGTTTTAGCACAGGATAAAAAATTTATGTGCAGAATATAATATTTATAGGTAAAAAAAATATCATGTATGACTTCAGGGGCTCTCATTAAACACAGTGCAGGCCATTTTCCTGCAGCAGACACAGTATTTCCACCAAAGACATTCATAACAACAGTGTTGTTAAACCAGACTGTCAACAACTATCGGAGACTGTTCTGAAGCAGTGAAGTCATATTTATTTATGAAGCACATTTCATCATGACCAGACTGCTGTACAACAAAGGAGGGGACAAATCTTGGGGTGCCTATGAGCAGCTGGTTGGTTGACCTCAGTGGTCCAACTGGAGTGTGATAATAATGCAGTTAGCCAGATAGGAAGGCGTCAATACATTAAAATATTATGAACAATCAATGATATCTTAAAATCAATCATAAAATGTAAATTGTACTGGTATATAAGGATGCAGTCTGTTTAGGGTGTCTACTGGATGGAAAGGTTTACACTGTCTTCCTGAGTGCATTCAATTAGCTCCAAAACTGACCCTCCCAGTACAACTACTGCCTGTTATTGTCATCCTGCTAGTTACCAGAGTGGTATTGAACCCAGTTTACACTACTATTGATCGCTGTGAGGTGAAGCTGGACTCTTTGTTCGCAACTACTTCAGTGAGACGGCAGTGGAGGTAAAATAACCTTACACAATAAACAAACCACCTCTCTCTAGATTTTACGCTGGGATATTGGCAAATAATAGGGAACAACACATTAGGTAACAAAAAGGTGTTCAAACTGGTCTAGAAACTGAATTTTACAATAGGTAGTTAGCCAGTTCACATGGATTGGCCAAGAATCAATTGACAGATCAATGTCCGACTCTGCTATGGTGCATGGTGACGTGTCCTTTCAGCTTGTTAATACTCTCCTGGTTGGAATATTACACATTAAAACAACTTGCAAAATGCACTAGAAAAGAGCTCGTACAGCCCTGTGCTATTTGCTTAGAAAGTTGTGTCTTTTTTGTGTCCTTTCTTCATCTGTTGGGGTTTTATTTGTGGCCTCGCTTTCTAGCTATACATCCATGCTATTTTCCTTCCATCTCAAAGCCAAGCGTTCGAATGCTGGGGCATGCGCAGAACAATAATTCATAAATCTTTTTTTTTTTACCTGCATGTAAACTAGCTTGTCCGAAAAGTATCTGAAATTATTAAAATTCAACCAAGTGTTTATTTCTCTGTACAAAAGATGTGTAACTTTTTAAACTTCTGTTGTATAACACAAAAAACACAAACTGAATCGACTACATTCTGAGCATAAAAATCCAGCTGGGGCTTCAGGGCGGCATTGATTGACAGACAAAGAGTGAGTTACTTCAATTGGAGGCCAGGTGCTGGTTGGTTGTGTGTGTGTGTGTGTGTGTGTGTGTGTGTGTATGGGCCTGTTTGTTCAATAACATATTTCTGTTCAGCTATGATTTCATCTAATTCAATTTCCCTCTAACCCTCTTTCTGGCCTGAGCTGCCCCCTTTCATTCCTTCCTCCTGATAATTTTATTTGCCGTTTCTCTCCTCCGTCCTCCATCCTCCCTTCTTGGGGCTGATCTTGCTGTCTCTGCTGTTCTCGGCAATAACTCTCCCTCTTTCATTCTTTGTCCGTTCCTCCTCCTCCTGCTCCCCATCCCCCCCCCACCCCTTCTTCTATGCCAGTCAGCTTTATGATGTGGCGATCAATGATGTGTCCTTGACCTCGTTATGAGTCCCTCTCCTCGTACCCTGAGCAGGCTTTATTGACCCATAACTCCTCTTTAGTCTTCACCCCCTTTTCTCTATTTTCACTCATTTTCTGTGTTCTCTGTCCCTAAGTGTTTTGCTCATCTTTTGTTATGACAAATCCTGTGTTTTGGCACCTTGAAGTCATTAAATATACTTCATGCATACTTAAACCCCTGTCCCTTTCTATATGCCTCTCATGTCCAAGTCATTTTAACATGCACATCTCCTTTGTTTTGACCTGAAATGAATCACTTGTTTTATTTACAGCTATATCCCCAAGCACCTTTGTATTCCCTATAAATAAAGAAGCATGTCTGTGTTTATAAGTGCATGCTTTCTATTATTTATCTGAGCTACTGCAATTAGACTGATATCCAAAAAGTCTATTGCATTTCAATACACATCCATATGTGAAGGCACACACACACACACATACACACACACATGCACACACACGGATGAATTAGCTAAGGTCCAGTGTGGCCTATGAAATAGTGGCTGATGGAATATTAATTGAGTTTGACGGGGGACATAAAATACCTTCCCCTTAATCTGACACGGGCCATTACAGTTCAATACTTACATGGGAGCTTTACTCATCCGCCCAGCATGGTGTGAGCGTGTTACAGTTGGCATGTAGGTGTGTTTATATGCATGTGTGTCACTGTGCTGTAAGAGCACATGAGTTTCCTGATACAGTACAGAATGATTGTGGAGTTATTTTGGGCGCAGCTGTGTGAACCAAACGGAGGTATGATGATGGGCTTGAACTCTGGATAAACTTAACCATCTGAATCCTGCGTCTCCGAAGAACCTGTGTGGGAAAAAATATCCTGATATAGCTTTCATTTCAGGGCCGGAGTGTGTTGCGGTGTGTGTGTGTTTGTGTGTGTTCATATGCTGATGCGTGCGAGTGTGACTTCACACCTTAATGTTTGTGTTTTATTGCTGTGTTTGAGTGTGAGACTTTCAAAGCCGGCAAGATGTGTTATGTCAGCCGGTGAGAAAACGTGCGTGTGCGTTTGTGGTGTGAAGATGTGCGTGCGAGTGTGTGTGTGTATGTGCTCATGCAGGTTGGCTCAGTCATCAAGGTAATTAGTGTGTAAACCTCCTCGCTGTCGGTTCAAAGAGAATTAACGAGCTCTGGTTAATTAACAGTCTCCCTCTCTTCTCGTTACATGTGTCTGCATATTCAACACATGTGTTTGTGTTTGTGTGAGTGAGTGTGCATAGGTGCAACATCTGCACCTCTGACTTCATCTGTGTAAGCACATTTGGATGTGAGTGTGTGTTCGTCTTGAATCCACAGGATGTGGCTTATGCATAAACCAAAACTACAAATACGGTTATAGGACAAAAGCCACATTTCCCTTTGGCTCTCTGTTCGCCCTCATTTATGTTTGACATCATCTGGCTACGCTGTATAATTGCTGAATGTTATAGTTATTAGTTTGTTTTACAGCTCATACCGCTTACTTCCTATAGTTTAGCTTTGGAAACGCTCGGACTAGAAACCAGATTCCCTCTGTTGACACATATTTGCTCATCCATTCACTAAACTCAGAGTCACGTTGCGTGAAAGCACAGAGGAAGGATGTTATGAATTATACATTGCTGAACACAGTGCTCAGAGCAACATTCCAGATACATAGCAACGTATATTTTACTTTAAGCCGAGCACTGACACTGTAATGCAATTCTGCACCAAAACACAATTGCTGATCCTGCGTTTTTGTACCATTGGTTTCTATTGAGTGAAGAAAAGCTGAGTTGGTGTTTTATTGGTTCGATGTAGCCAAATGAAGTGATTGTGTTGAATAATTACATTTGCGCTGAACGGCTCTAAGACTTTAATTACAAAATAATGTTTTATTTTCGCCTGCTTGTGGTTGTTTATTATAAAAATGTAACCGACTGTGGAAGATAGAGTTCATTCACTGGGTGATTCAGACTGAGATACATTTCTAATACCAATATTTCACAAATGTTTGGCAGTTATGATGCTGTCATCTTGACTAAAAACATGATGGCCAGATTCACAAGTGATGGATCATGTTTGCGTCTTTCTCAACCCAACATCCGTGTCGACCTCCATGCTGCTGCGTGTTTCTATTAGTAACCAAGCTTGTGAAAATCAGCCACTGGAGGTGAAATGGATTCCTCCCTTCCTGATGGTTATGTTTTTGTGCTGAAACAGGCAGGAGCTGGACAGGTTTATGAGCCAAGTGTCAATCAAGCCGACACCTGACATCCTATTAGCAATCACTCCCTGCAGACACCTGGAATTTTCCCAACGTTGACTGAGGAGTGTAGCTTTGCATCTTAATATCCATGCCTGTTGTTCATCACTGGTGGTTTAAACCTGTGGACAAGTGATATTTGCATCTATTTTTCAACCGTCCTTTAAAAAAACAAAAAAAAAAAAACTGTGGCTCGATCCACGGCAGAAATATGACTGATTGTCCCCGCTAGGACACTGACAGTCTCATTTACAGGGCAGACTTATGGAATTCTTAAAATGGCTTAACGTTAAGCTCCGGTGGGGTACAAAGGGTGATTTGATAAAATAATTAGTCTACCAAAAACATAATCTGATAAGTGTTCAAAGAATACTTTGGCATAGCTTTCAGGGAGACGGATAATCAGATATCTGATATTCAATGCAAGATCAATAAGACGGTCTATTTTTATCGTCAAAAACATGTCACCTAATCCTGTTTCATCATAATGTGATAGCTTATTTACACCCTGAAAAGAATAGAGCTGATAAAATGTCAGTCTTCTGCATATTACAGCTATAACTGAACAGAGTGTGTAAGGTGATATCGCACTATGCTACCACAACACACACAATGAAAACTAATATGCTTGTGTTGACACCACATGCGCATAGTCCAGACTTCATAACTGGAATGCTGATCAGTCAGGATGACCTTTGCCTCTGCTGATTTGTTTTGACTTGTGTTGTTGTGAAAGTGGGCGGAAAAACGGGGATGTGCTCCTACCTCCAAAGTGGCAAACATATGAACCTCGAGTCTATCAGGCTTCAAATACGATTAAAAAAAATGATGAGGTTGTATCAGTCAGTTCTTTATCTATTACAGTGCTCAGCATAAATGAGTATTCCTCTTCAGAGTTGTCAGAAAACCTTCAGTTTCCTTTCAAAATCAACATTTTCTATGTCAGATTATACAACAAAATACTCCATATACTCCAAATACTAGGCCATTGATTGCAAACAAGATTTTTTAAGTTGCACACAAAAAAGTTTTTTTTTTTCCAATCATGATGCAGAAATGAGTCCACCCCAATAAAAATTCTAGAAGCAAAGCTAAATTTTAGTTACCATATCACCCTTATTCTCATTTTATGGTTATGTTGTGCTGAACTCAGATTTGTCAAAACTTTGGAAATTGTACTTTTGCTCATTTAGATATTGAGTAGGGGTGGGAGAAAAAATCGATACAGCATATTATCATGATATTTTGTCTGGTGATATATCGTAACGTTTCATTGACCAAGTACCAATTTTTAAATTAATTGGTAATATGAACTTAAATCTATGATAATGGAAAAATAAAATCAACTGTTTCCCCAGTGAAGTTGGCAGAGGAGATGTCATAGAGCAGAGGAAAGTTAGTGCAACAAATATAACAACACCCAGGGAAAGACGTTAGGAATACAAGCCGAGCACAAATGAGATGGACCTGACATAAACGGTTTGCAAGATGTGCTACATGAAAATAAAATACTGTGTAAATAAGACAAACGTAAGGAAAAGCCAAATGCTAAATTAGCTAAACAATTTAATTTTTTTTAATAAATCGCAATATATTGAATTGCAATACTCACTGTACTGCAAAAAGTTAAAAATCGCAATAATATCATACTGCGGCCCAAGTATCGTGATTATATCGTATCGAAGGGTCAATGGTGACTCCCACCCCTAATACTGAGTAATACATTACCTTTAATAGGGGGTGTGCTGACTCATGCTGGGCACTGTGTGTGTCTGGGAAGGTTTGCTGGAGTCACCGCATGGACTGACTCAGGCTGCTGTCTAATTCATTGAAGGATCTCTGTGTCTCAACCAACGAGTCGATTATCACATGCTTTTCACTTAACGTGCTTTCCATGCCACTCATTTCTATTGAATCAAATCAGCGTAATTGTGTTACCATTTCTTCCTCATACCCACTCCAGATGTCTTGTTTTACCATTTCAGCAGGTTTTTTTTTTTTTTTTGCTAGCACCCTAAGTGTGATCATGGGGGGAGTGACAAATCACAAGTGAGTCTATGGTGTTTTTAATCTCATTTACACAAATAGTCGAATTCATCTGTGCTTTTTTGCATCCTGCTTTAACACTTCCCGACTGTGTATCCTCACAGCGTCCACGGGGCCAAGCAATAAAACAAAAGCAAACTTTAAAGAAGAAGAAGTTTAGTCAACTGGTCAGATTTCTTTTTGTTCTTCACTTACATTTGTTCAGTAATCTTTAGAAACCTTTTTGCTTTCATCTGCTAAGTTATGCATCAAAGGAGGCGCTGAGAGGAAAAAGGGAAATATACTGACAGGAAACATCTCGTAGGAGCTGCGCAAAAAGGACAGACGTGTTAACAATTCATTCGCAGATGATATATTTACACTGGTTATTCAAATACAGGAGCGATTCAAAACTGTAGGGTTTGATCTAATAACCTTGTAAGAGTGACGTGTGCGGTGCTGGAATGCAGTTCCCTGAGGCTGCGCTGAAAAGAGCAGATGTCCTGTTTACACACTGCACCCATTAGGTCCGGCAGACAGGTAAAGACAAGTGTCAAGAGACCCCGTGGGAGGGAGAGGGAGAAAAAGAAAGAGAGAGAGAGAGAGAGAGACAGAGAGAGAGGACAGGGGATGATGAATAAGACAACTGATAAATGAATGAGTGAGCCTTAAAAGATGAACCTGTTAATCGGCATGGGTGGCAGGGGAAACTACAAAAGGGACAGACTTGTGAAAGAAGTCGACATGACCGCAGCCAGTCTGAGGGAGAAACACAAAGAATGTCGTTTAGGGGAGAGAGACGGGGGGACTTTTGTGGTATTCGCAGAATGCAGAAAACACTTTAGAGCAGGTTGAAACTCGGCTCAGGGAGGGATGAAGGAATATGAGCAGCGTTTCTTCAGCTGTCTGACTCGCAGATGTTCATGAGCCAAGGCGCCTTGTTACCACAACACATGCACACTCGCAAAGCTTTCCGAGCTGAAACCTAAAATCCACACATTAGGCACACCTGCATGTTTCACACACTCACACATCTATAACTATGCAGTGAGTATGTTGCAGTGGGACCACCTCTGCAGTAAGAGCAATCCACCCTTCTCCATGCTTGTGATTTTTTCCCCTCCATATTTCACTGCACCCTCTCACACTCCCCCCCCTCTTTTCCTTTATCCCTTTTTCTGCAGACCCCCCACCCCATCCCTGTCTCAGTCTCTCTCCCTCTCGATCGCTCCCTCCAGAAGCAGGTGATGTAGAAGGGTGCTCAGCAGTATCTGACTATCAGGGCCTGACTCTGTGAGAGGAATGATAATCACTGTGCTGCACTGCAGAGAGAAAGAAGAGAGGGAGCGACAGAGAGACAGGGAGAGGGAGGAGAGGGGGCATGAGGTAGAGGGGAAAAAAGGGGGGCAAATGCGGCAGTAGAAAAGAGGGGGCAAAATAATGTTGAGGGGTGGAGGTGGAGGGGAGGGAGTGCAGCAACAAGACGGGAGGGAGACAAAGAGGAGAGAAAGAAAGTAAGAAAGAAAGCTCTGAAATTGAGTGCTGCTTTATAAGCATATACTCCCTTCTCCTTCTCCTCCTCCTTCTCCTCCTCTGCCCCCTGCATCTATCCCCACACCTCCAACAACATCACTCCTGCCACAACAATAGCTTGTAATACAGCAGCCCAGCGGTACAAGTGGGGAGCCTTTGCCTTGTGTTTGAGCACCAGAGAACATTAACTGCAGCAGCGAGGTCATCTGATCGGCACTATGCGGTCCCTCTCTTTCTCTCTTTTTCTCTCTCTTAACTCCTCTCCACACTACTGCAGTCTGATGCCGGCCCCCCTGCGGTCACCGGTGGAAGTGCTGGCCATGCTGAGTGCAGGCTTGCCCGTCCCGATAAACACAATACATAGCAATCTATGTATGTAATTTGCTGGCACTCCCACGACCATAAATCACTTTCTCTTACTGGGAGCAATTAAAAGCGAACCCCTGCAGTCACTGCTTATTACCAGTGCCCCAGCTAGTTACTGCAAGTGTGTGGGTGTGTGAAGTTTGTTCTTAAGGATGTTGTGTGTCGTTTGTTTACAAAAAAAAAAAAAAAAGAGAAAGCATAAAAGAGAGGTTGCTTTGCTGCATGCGGCTTCTACTGCATCGCCATCCACCACAGCTTTGTTAGCATCAAGCTGTCCACTCTGGCGTTGAGCTTTCTCCCTTCTCCCTGCCTCCATCTGGGCTCTCCACCCTGCAGATACACATTGAAAATCACTGACTCTATTCACAGCATTAGGCCTTTGAAATGTTTATCCCTTTTGTGTAGCTCGTGCCTGTCCATAGGGGGAAAAACAAAACGGCAACAAAAAGCTCATAGAGGGAGACGTAAAGCGAGGCTTACCGGACAAATGCCCATGATTCAGATTAGCCCCTTTGTTGCTGTGTGTGTGTGTGTTTGTGTGTGTGTGTATATATACACGTGATGATCATTGCTTTCCACTGCTAGTCACTAAAACAGTCATTGCTTATAATATCCATGACAGGAATCATTGTGAAGAAAGATGCAAACAGGATGGTGGTTTACAACTGGTCCTTTGTGTGGGAGCGTGAGTAAGAGACACCATACATATGTATGCCTGCTATTTAGATGGCATTTACTGCCCGTTCTGTGGTGAGTCTGCATGTGTGTGTGCGTGTGTGTGTGTGTGTGCTGGGACCATTAGACTAATAGTATGCGTGTTAGGACCAGGCTTTTCCCACCCACTGCTATTGTCCATTAAGGGTGACCAGAGGAGAGTGAACAATAGCTTCACTGTGGGGGCCAGTGTATGAAAGAGTAAAAGTGAGGATGAGGCTAAAGATACGTAGACTTACACACAAGCGCTGGCAGACACACACACACAAACACACACTCACATACGCACAAAAACAACCTCCCTGTTGAGAGTGATTAGGAGTGCTGCTGTGAACAATAGACAGAGTCAATAAAGGACCTCAGAGACATCCGGATACAAGAGCAAGGTCTCTATCTCCCCACCCTCCATCTCTACCTCCGTTTTCTCTTCCCCATGTTTCCTCTTTCCCTGCCTCCTCTACACCTTCTCCTCTTTCTGTATCCCTTACTCTTTCATTCCACTAAAACCGCGACTTCTCCTCCACTTTCCAAACTCTTTCATTCAGGTATTCTGATGCAGATAGCATTCTCAAAACATCTCACTTACCACCTTAAATGCAGAGTAAGGTCCACCTTTCTGAGTGATCTGATCCTGTAGTGTATGTAGTCATATATACATGCAGCGGAGCAGTCATGGGCCTCACTGATTCATGGTCATTTATTACCTCTAAGGCTCCTTGTGCCAGTTTAAGGTAGTATTTTTACAATCTGCAATGCACCGAGGGGATAATTGTGGGGTGAAGTCATCCACATCTGAACTGCTGCCTGAGGTAGTAACAGAGGCGTAATGGGCGAAAGATTGGCAGCTATGTGTAGCTACAAACAGCGCCACATATATCTGGAGCTCCTGTTGTGTTGTGATGTCTGTGACGCCGCCATATATTGTGAAACCACACTCTGGGACAGCAGTAATATGCTGCTGTGGAGCTCAGTGTTATGATAATGGTCCAACTTTGTGCATTGCTGTTGTGGAATTGCTTTGTGTTCTCGGTGATCTGCTAAAGTTAGTCTGACTGAAATCACACCACACAGAACTTCTCATAGTCGGAGTAACATATCTTGATAATCTTGTAAGGGGTCGATGTTCTCTGTTATATATACGGCTCAATCAAACTTAGGGCTGGGCGATGAACTGAAAATTTACAGATACTGAAATTTACAATAACCAACGTCATTTTGCCCATGTCAATAAATTCAGTGTCAAAAAATTAAATAAATCAAAGTTGGTTTTGGATGTGTGTAGGTAGGCTATTGTCTCATGTCCCTTTAAGATACTGTCCCACGACAGAGACGTGACTCCACCTCATCCAGTCCGTAACAAAGAGGGAAAGACAGGTGAGGAGATGGTGACAGTTCAAAAGTTGGAGCAGCTGAAGTGGATTAAGTTTATGTGGGAGGGGGTGAGCAGCTTGTGGTCTAATTATTGTCCTTTTATCGTTATCGAGGTGAACTACTCAATATATCGTGATATTGATTTGAGGCCATATCGCCCAGCCCTAATCAAACTGAAACTGGACTAAATGTTCGACTTGGATGCGTTGCTAGGAAGCCAGGTAGTAAACAAAACCTCAACAGATGAAGAAGGGACGTAAATAAGACAAAACTCTCCTGAGAAACGGCACAAAGCTGCAGAAGTGACAATGTCTTTATTGTTCAATGTATCTCTCCTGTTAGCCTCTTGTTGGCTGATTTGATATGTAATACATCAACGACCTGATAGTCATGAGCTTGAGGAGGACATGTCTCCAGCTACGGTAGCATTCTTGCCCTGTGCATGTAAACTGGGACAGGAACATTAGTCCAGTTAAATCGTCTAATCAAGCTCTAAGTAGCTCGACTTCACTGACTGTGCTTGTAAACCTATTGAGAGATTGTCGTTCCTAATGACTTGAAGTGGATCAAGTTATCCTCAGAGAACTTGAATGAAGCCACTTGACGGAGAATACTTTTCAAGTTGTGCGCTGAAGTTGTAAAATAATAATGTCTAGGATGTCTAATGTCTAAGTTGCTGTGATATTGAAACTGTGCAAGGACAGCAGACACAAAACGAATAGGATGAAACCAAGGCTAAGTGTAACTTAAGTCGTCTGTTGACTATATTTGGAAATGATGAAGATCCGAGAAGGCTGATGAACACTTCTGTGTATCTACTGTTTGCGTTGTTTGTGCTTCATTATTGCGAGAATTAAATTTACTTCCATTATATATCCTGAACTCTGGTGTCTGCCTCTTGTCATTTAAGAATGATTTTTCTATCACCACTCTATGTTGGCATAAGTGTTTCTGTAACACTCTTCAGTAGACACTCAGAAATGTGTCCTCTGGTAAAGGGACTGCACATACTCATAGATTTATTTGTTTACGTTCTCTGAAATATGACTATCAAGCTTAATGATGCCTTTTATTTTCGCATCCAAACAGGATTTTTCTTGAGGCTTGTGCAAGTATTGTATCAGTACTTGGCAAAATTCAAGCTGGGAATCCGAAAAAATAGAGTAAGTAAATTTCTACTTTTATCCGGCACATTCAACCCAGTTTGCCCTGTACTCTCATATTTTTATGTCACGCTCATCATTCTTTCTATGTCTCTCCCTCTAGCATCCACTCTGACTCCTTTGTGGCGCTCCTGTCTTTTGTAAAATGGGCGGACGGGGTTGAGCTGACAGAGGCTGACACGCTGCAACGCCACGGCAAACTGAAATCCATCCTGACAGTTTAGAATCAGTGTCACTCACTTTGCAAGGTTAAAGATAGCTTAGCTTAATGTGCTGTCAGACACAAACAAACATGTACACCGCGTCGGCCTCACTACGTAAACACCATCACCAACACACCTAGACGCGCACACACACATAATCATAACTCTACCTATGACCTAAAACTGTAATCCGGCATATTTGTGTATGACTGTTGGATTACTCTGATGTGTGTGGTTGAACCCGGTCTCGGCCCTATCACCCCCGTGACAGACACAGTGCCACAGAAATGTCTCGGGGCGCCTCGCCCAATGTCTTGACAATAGTCTCAGTGTGTGTGAGTGACTCGGGGACACAGAGGGGGCGTTATACTTGGTAGACGACACGCACGCAGGCACCCACACACACTCACACACACACACACATAAAAGAGAGAGGACAGTGCACTCTTTCTCCCCCTCTGCGCTATTGCTCACTCCCTCTCTCCCTGACGCAGAGAGACTCAATCATTCTCACACTCTGTCTTCATTGACGCAGAGGAAAAACATAAAACAACTGCTGCCTCCCTCTCTTTTTTTTCTGTGTATGCATGTGTGTTTATGTGTGTGTGTGTCCGTATGTGCGCATGCGTGTGTCCGTGTGTGGGTACATGTGCGGACACAAGACTGTATAATTAATATGGCTTTCATTTCTTTGAGCTATGAAGTGTGCTTTTGGTATGCAAACAGACTCCTTGCATATGAGTATGGGTGTGTTTCTGTGTGTGTGTGAGTGTGTGTGCGTGCTGCTCGATAGACCAGAGACCGAGTGCAGAGCTAGGGCCATTGAGCGGAAGGAGGAGAGTTAATGAGAAAGCAGGGGAGAATTCAACCCGTTCCCATCGATAACCTCACACCACACTTCAAGCGTATACGTACACAGGCTCCAGTTTTGAAACCCCCTTTGAAAATTATGGTTCAGAATTAGGGCTAAGAAATGACTCCACTGAAGTCACATCCAGCAGAGTTTCAGAGAGCTGAGCCTTTTACCGAGGAGGAGTCTGCCTGATTATTATGCGACTCCTGGCATTAAAAAAATGTTTAAAAATGCAAATGATTCCACAGCCACTGCAATAAAAGAGTTAAGCAGCAGCTGAAAACATATCGTTTTTGCATACCAAACTACAGGTATACGCTGCACTCTATTTTCATGTCTTCTTTTTCAGCTGATTGCACAGCCTTGCAATGTGCCATCTGGGAATATAAGAATTTGAGGAATGTATAATGATAGAAAAAGATGTTCAGAATCTTCCTCATTTTATTTTCTTCTTGTCCGGGCTTATTTTGAGACATCAAGAAAAGAGTTTATTCCAAGTCTATAAATCATTAAAAATACAGAAAAACAGCATTATCCATTCTGTTTGTTTGACACAGTTGCTAATTTGTAAACCAGTACAGATTTGGTTGGTTACAGTTTTCTATAGTCCAAGTTAATTAATCCAAATGCTTCTTTTATTCAACCAACAATCCAAAATCAGGTTTGAAATTCAAGAAAACAAACAAACAACTCAAAATGTTTGCATTTATGGAGCCACAGCTCTTCATTTTCATGGAAATAGCTTTTAACAAGTGTAGATTTGTCAACTTTAAGTCTATTTAAAGCAAATCATTGATTTAATACCAAAAGCTGCTCTCTGCTATCGCTGTTTCCAGTGAAAACTATAATCTCCAAAGTGTTGATTTTTCATTAACTAAGCACAAACAGTCCTCTTCGAAGCTTTAATCCGATCAATCTTTGACGTAATCTATTTGATTTTTGAAGGATTATGGATAAAAGGGAGGGTATATTTGTACAGAAAAATCAATAAGACATAAGGTTTAATTGGACAGCAAAAATAACTCCTCATATTTCCATAATGCACTGACAAGCTTCGACGTTGAACGCAGCCTTTTGAGGCCATGAGGGCTCAGGGTTATGTCTGCACAAGTTCGGTCCTGCTGTGTTCAAATCAGTTTTCTAACTATTTCAATCTCTGACTCACATTCTTCATAAAGCCCCATAAGGAAGCAGAAATTAATTATTGACTCATTCATAATCATCATGCCGTGTGAGAGTGACACTACTTTGTAAAAGTCACTGGAGCCGTTTTTCCTGAAGAAGCAACTCGACACGCACATAAAAATAACACCAGTTTCTTTGATATTCAATTAGTACTTTAGTCAATAATTTGAAATACATCGTTTGATCACCCTGGAAACCACAGAGCTGCTGCTGCTGCTTTGTGGTAGAGATCTACTTAAAACGTGGCCAAGCAGCACGCTCAACTTCTGCCTTTCAGAACCTTGAAGAAAAAAGGGGAAAATAACCCAGGGAGAGCATGTTGAGGTGAAATCGTCGATTCAACAAATTTTGACGGAAGGCTCCCTGCGACGGCTCTGCTGGATTTAAAAAAGGCCGTCGTCAGCAAAGGCCGGTATTAAGATACACTCACACACATCTAATTCTAATCAAAGCCTGCTCTTTTTAACAGCCGTGAAAGCTTTCATGTTAACACGACACCGCAACCAAAGCTTTATTCACGCTTCTAAAAAGGGACTGACCGGTCAATGAGCGCGCGTGTGTGCCTGCACCTGACAATGCAGCATATCTGTGTCAACACACACTCTATCCTTTCCTCTCATCTTACCTCTGATACTGTGTGTGACTCCCTCCATCATGCATAAATTGTCAGTGATCCCCATTTACACTGTGTGCGCCTGTGTGTTTGTGAAGACAGGGATGTCTATATATACAGAGCAATCTCAGATTGTGGGCTTAGATGTGAGCCGTCTTTTATCCATCCAATTAGAGGGTGCCATTTCATCCCAAAGGAAACCTTTTTGGGATTCTAATTGGAGGGTAGATTTGCATGACTTTGATTAAAAAATGGTGCGGGTTCATAGTTTGTGTGTTTATATTCATAATATTTCTTTATTTGTGCAACAAGAGAAGAAAGCTTCTTCGATAATGTATGCCGACTTGTACCTGTGCAGTGTTGGCCCATTAGGAACCGACTTTACTGTAATGCTGTGCCATTACTGCCTTTTATTAGGAGCAAGCTATTGATTTACAGCGCAGTTTGATTTATCAGAGTTCCACTTTTTTGGTCTGTATCCAGACTAACATAAAGACAAATAGAAAAATAACAAGAGATCTTACATATGTAATACAAGTAAAGGCAGTAGTTAAACTTGGTCGTTTGTAGTGTTTCCTCAAGGGAGAGTTAAAGGTAGTGCAATGTGAATGTTTGATAATATAGCCTGTGTAAGAATGTCTGTGTGTGAGTGGGGTTACATGGGTCAATCTATTTCACGCCTGTGTTTGAAGGCACCTGGGGGGGTTGCTCTCCAAAGGCTCAGATGGCTAGTTGTTATATTTCAGCTCCACCTGTGTGTATGTGAGTGTAATAGTGTGTGTATGCAGGAGTGGGCTGGCATCTCTTATCAGGTCTATTCCTGATACGGACAGGCCAGTGGGGATGAACATGGATTAAACATGCACACACAGAGTATGCATACACACACACACGCGTGCACACATACATCGAGAGAGAGGTTTTGGTCAACCTTATAATACAGAGCACTGCTGCAGGGGTAGGCCTGCCCACTCACATTTATGTAACTTCTTCAACAGGGCAGCAGGTAGACAGCTCTCATTCTAGCTGTCTCGCTTTTACGCCATGCACACACACACACACACAAACACGCACACAAACCAAAATAGCCCGAAGAGTTTAAGCTGGCTCTTCTCACAGAGTGCACCCTCCCTCCCACCTTTCCTCCTCCCTCTAACCCCAGACCCAAATACCTCGTTTCTATCTTTTTCACCCCATCTCCTTCTCCTCTACACCATCTCCATCCGCTCTCAACCCCAAGGCAAAACCCAAGAACACTGATTTTGTAGCTTCACATCTCCCCCTATCCTGCCTCTTCACTCGGTCGCCTTATTCCTCTTCATCTCTCAGCCCAACACTCATAAACCACTCAACCAACTCCCCGTCCACCCCCGTCATCACCCTTTTTTTTCGAAGCCATGGGTGCTGACCAGGAATTCCTTTGGTCCTCTTCCACTCCTTTTCTGTCTCTTCCTCTCTCCCCTGCTCTCTCTCTCTCTATCTCCATCTTGATCTTCTGATTTATCTATCTTCCACCAACAATTCGAAAACAGATGGCTACACTTAGCCCGGGGCAAAAACATTGGCTTTGGACTACAGCGCTACCAAGGCCAGTCTTTTCACACTCACACAAGATCTAATAAGCTGATATCCGCCTAGAAACGTGCTCGATTCGCCAACAGCAAAAATGCATAAACCATATTGCAGAAATTCACACCTTAGGCTCATTCCTTGGTAGCATGCTTAATTTTATCCAATCGGGAGAAATCAAAAGTAAAGATTAAAGCCGACTCTAACTTAAGAGTCTAAAAAAAGGTGGCAGAGAAAATGAAGAGGGTTGTTAAGAGCCATTTGTAAAATTTAAAGAAACTATTAAGTGTTATTAAAAAAAAGCTTGGGACCATTAAAACACGTATTGAGAAGATGGATCCAGATGGAGAGTGATGAAAAGAGATGAAACCACTTAGGGAGAACAGAGAGATCAATCAGGGAAAAGACAGACGGAGGGTGTGTGTGCTTGTGCGTGTCCGTGTGTGTGTGTCTGTGTGGTGGGGTAGCAGACAGACATTGGGGATGGAGGGTTGGAAAGACACACTTTTTTTATTGGATGAGTTACATAGCACTGAAGCAGACAGTGCCCGGGACCAGACTATGGAATATTCAATCATTCCTAATGGAGCCTGAAAGTGGAGTCTTGTTTTTGTCATCTGAGTTTTATAAGTTTGTACATTTCAGTTTTAAGAAGTTGTATATTCAGGTCTCTGCTTACGGGCATAATTTTTTAGTCTGACCATTAAATTTCAGTCTGTGTACTCTTCTGCAAATTTGAGCATGCACTTCCATCGCTTCAAGCTTAATTGAACAACTTGGGTGCAGGTGTTGGTGCAAGTGTTTACAGACTTCACCGAGTTTCAAAGGGAAGAACATTCAAACAGTTTGCTTGTAGTTGCTAAAACACCAATGCAATTATTTAGACAGTTGTAGTCCACGGAGCTGTGAAAATCTTTCATGTAGTGTTGATTCTGGTAAGCCCTTTGGATGAAATTGGCAGTGTTTCCCAAGAATAAAGACTGAATCTCCCATGAGCACCATTAGCCTCTGTCGCAAAGATGTGGCTTCTATCAAAGCCTGCATTTGATCTTTTTTTGCAGGTTGCAGAGTGACGAGACACTGTGTAGATTTCTATCTACATTACATTATTAAGTTAATTATTACATTATTACACTTCAATCATTTTCTCCCATAAAGAGCATTAACATTAAATCCTGTTCAAAGCTATTTTGTATTTTTACTAAGCAAAGTTTCACTCTCTGAAACAAGCTGACAAGCAAGTTAACAAGCTGTTGCTACTGAGGCATCTACTCAGAACATATCTATATTTTAAAGCAAGCTGTTATCAGAAGTGATTAATTTTCTACTTGTACCTAACTGTCAATGTGACTCCATTTGGCTTGTGGATGAACCTGAGGAGTTTTCAGCCTCAACTTTGCCAAGCACACACCTGAGGAGTTCCCTGATATAAGGATCATAAATTTCCAGTTATTATTAATCATGACCCTTACTGAATCATCGTTTGAATGCATTTTTTGTTCACGTCCAGGTGATGAAGGAAACAAGTTCCTTATTTTGCTATCATGCCAGTACAGATGTTGCATGTACTCGTTGCTTCCAAGTTCTGGTTGCACGTAAATTAATAAATGAGGAAAGAAAGTTTGTGCTAAATCAATATTTATTCAAATAGGCATATTTCCCTAATGGAAGTACTCTGTGAAAATAAACTGCAGATGTTGACTCATTAGTCGACAGATTTTTGTATCTAGCATGGCAGAATTACATTCATTTAAAAGCGCTATTGCACAAATATGCCACTCCTTCCTCCGCTGCAGGATGCCCACACAACAACTTCTTGCCAGATGTGTCTACGCCTGGATATATCTTTTGTTAATCCTGTTCCAGCATCAGCAATGAGTACAATACAAAAAAACCTAAAAAGAAACATTTCTCAAGGAAATAAAAACCTCCTGCAGCTTTCTGACTTACTTCTCGTGACTAAACTTTACTAGCAAAATTCTAAACATAGGTAACCCCGGCTGAGCGCCGAATATTGACTCGACTATTGCTTGCAGTAGAGCCAACTCAGAGTACACAGGCACATAAATTCAGAGTAATGGAACAACCAATCTTGTCACTTATCATCTCATTTTCTAAGTCATAAAGAGGCATCAGTCAATGACACTATTTCAAACTCATAAAAGACCTGAGCATTTGTTAGAAACAACCTAAATGTGTGACGGTACTCCCGTTAAAACCACAAAGAAAAGGCCTCAGTTTGTTTAAAGCAAAAATAACTGGAAGAAAACTGTATATATACTGATTTGTCAGGTAAGACAAAATGTAAGTCACAGTCTGAGGTCTCAAAAGTCTACTCTCTCTTTTCTCTTTACTTTTTCATCCCCTCTCTCTCCCTTAGCACTGCCTTATCTGTCTCCTTTTGTTTGGACCAACTTTGTGCTATATCATGAACCACTAACAAGCCACTGAACAAAGGAAACTCTGAGACAACATAATGCAGTAAGGCACACATATTTTGGCCTTTAGACATGGTCATACGGATTGTTGGTTATGATCAAGTCTGCTTTGAGCATGCAGAGTTGGAGATGGTCAGAGCACCTGGCTGATATGTAAGACTAAAGGTACGGTCTGTTCAGCTGTATGAGATACTAAACAGTGTGCATTAAACATTTTAGATAAAGAGTTGGTGATATTTTTCAATACGTTCATTTAAAAGTTCAAGTTTATCATTTCACAATTCTCGCTTTTAACATTTTCTTTACACATTTGAAATAATTATTAAAGTGGCGGCACACGCAGCTCACCGTGTTGATACCTGCAGCACACACCTGTAAGGTAAACAGATTTAAATCACTTCACCTCACTTCAGGTTTATTCTGCTTGAGTTGACTCAATCCGACTCGACTCCCCACAATTTGAATTATGCAACCGAGCCAAGTTGGGCTGTGTCCAATTCGATTCAATTCAAAATCCATTCAAGTCAATTTAATTCAACCCAACTCAATACCACTTAATGCACTGAAGATTCTTTTGTGTAGGTGGATAAAACCAGTCAAAGGGCTACTAAGCTGTCTAGAATCCCTGTCTAGTGTGAGGAGGAGCGCTTTTGTTTAGCAATATTGGGTAAAATTGCTCAACCCACAGACAGCCATTAAGGTAATGCTGTAAGGCAGATGAGCTGAATGCAGAGCTGCTCAATACAGAGCCGAGTCTTCAAGAAGCAAATAAAAGGCAGCATCTCAGCGAGGGGCTTGCAATGTAGGTCTTTGTGTGTGTTCGACTCAGTGTGTGTGTGTGTGTATGCGAGGGAGTTAAGAGAGTGTGTTTGTAAGCCTCTGTGGATGTGTGTGATTCTAGGAGACAGAGTGTGCCCAGGCTTGTGCTTGTGATTCGATCCAGAGGGAAAAGGATGAAGAAACTGATGTAAGAGCCGGAAAACTTTCCTTTCCGCTCCATGTGTCATCATATTGTTATCGGAGTTTGTCTGCTTGCGGTGAAAAGCGTATATGCACAAGGATCTGGGAGGGTGTGTAATTATGTGCCATTATGTACACACAGGAGCATGTCTGTGTGTGTTAAAATCACACGTCGGATGGTGTCTGCGGTGTGCGTCCCTGCCTCGGCTTGCCTGTGCTTGTGTGTGAGTGCGTGTAGGGGGAAATGACATTCCCACATTCCTGCCATTTTGCAGTGAGCTTGAAACAAAAGTTGAAGGGAGCAGTTGTTAACAGAGTAACATTATCAGCTGAACAGCCTGTCTGTGTTATCTAGTGTGTGGTAAACAGCCGAGACAGGCAGACAGACAGACCGACCGACGGGGGACTTCCAATCACATTCAAGCGCTCGGTGACCTTGGTGTGTGAGGAAACAGACAATTTCTCTGCTGCTTCTCACAATCCTTCTATCTCTCTTACTCACTCCCTCACTTTGACTTTTTGTCTTTGTTCTGTAGTCCTTGAGTCAAATAGACTGAAACACGCAAATCTGTGGTTAAACAATTACGCTGGATATCCCCCTGACTTCGTAATTCCTAAAACAAAACCGAACTCTGTATTTTTTAATCACTAATTTTCCCCAAATTTGACCAAATATCGATTTATAATGTTCATTTCATGCCAAGTATGATATTATGTTACAATCTCAGCCCATGTTTTGTTATATCATCATGTGCAATCCTACCTTTCATGATTAGGGGTATTTTACTTGTCATCATTGGGCCTTTTCATGTTTATTTTCAAGTGCAAATTACATTTTCAATCATATAAAACGTTTTAGCTCTATGATGAAGTGTTCTCTTTACTTGTCAATATCAGTTTAAAACATTATTTACTTTTGATATCATCTGCTGGATCAGTTTTCATCACGATTTCTAACAATTTCTTACATCCTTTATTAGCTTCTCCTCGCTTTTTTTTTTAAACTATGTGCTTACTTAGACTTCCATCAACACCCTCAGTTAGACACTGTTTCTTTAAATTTATTCATTTAACATCTTAATTATATTTTAAAGCTCCTGTGAGGAACTTTCGATTTGGGTCAGTTTTGGTGCCCCCCTGTGGACAAAGCATCTCTACTTACCTGAACCTATTCATTTTTAAGTAGTTGTTTTTTGACTTAAAAGATCTTATCATTGTGACTTTTGTGCGTCAAATATATCATAAAATACTTAAATTTTATGCTGAAACTGTAAAAACAAGACTATTACTTTAGTATACAATCTGCCAGTCTTGTTGCAAATGGTCTAGTTTACTTTTGGATAGCATAAAAAGCATCAACATGAATTTCAGTCCACTTAAAACGCCTCACAGGAGTTTATTTAAATCTCTAGTTTGTTTCTCTTATTTTGCACCAATCAGGCTCCAGAATTCCCCTCAGGATTAATAAAGCTATCTCTTCAAAACATCATTTGGGGCTAACTCTGCGTCCAGTGAATGATATCTAAACTTACAGCTTGTCTCCATGTGGCTGCAGAGTAAAAAGTACCCTATCAGCACAACAGCATTAGCTGCAGTCCTCCATCACTTTCTGCTCTTGATGCACTCAGCCGCAGCACTGCTGTGCAATCGGAAAAGTTCACGACAGCAATTTTTATTTACAGCCAAGTTCATGAACAGGGTAAAAGTGTTGTTTAAAGATGTGGCGAAACTGTCTCTGGGATTGATTTGGTGTTCAGTTGTTTTCATATTCTTATTATCATTCTTGGTGCAGTTCAGATTGAGATGAGCTGATGAGGTGAATGGGTGATAATATCTACCTTTTGAGCATACAAACTTAATGTTTTTCACAACTGAAGACTGACACTACTACCCCACTGATTTTCAGTATCTCCATGACAACTGAGTGAAGTGAAACCTTTGAGCAGGACAGTGAGATGTGGTTGAAAGACCCTAAAGAAGCTAAAAAGGATGGACCTTGAGATTCCTTTTTGTTGTCGATTGTGGGAAGATTTTCTTTTGGTTTCATAAAAACTGCCTTTCACCGTATGAATGTGCAGCTCTCAGTGAACCTGAAATAAAAGTAATGTGAAACTGATGAAATGTCAGTTTGTTCAGTTCAGTTTATCAATCTTCTGCTAATTAGTGAAGATAATTTGTCAACCACAGGAAGATGAATTTCAGGAGGTTTGTCAAAGTTTGTTATATCAAATTTTAAGGTCCATTCTGAGAGATAACTTTTAACAACCAGCAATTATTTCAAAGATGTCACTGAAGAGAGACCACCACTGAGGACAACTACAGAGAAATTCAGCATGTGGGGAATTAAAGGGATAGATGTTTTGTTTTTTTCAGCTCAAAGCACTGTGGATGCTGCTGACAAGCTAACTAAACCTTAATGAGCATCAGTGATCAATGCTCGCAGTACTTATAGTTATATTTACATTAAAAATGCAATTTCCTTACATATCGTGTTTTACAGACAAGGTAGAAAAGAAAGGCATCAAGGTTTACTTCTTTTTCCGTCTGTGGAGTGATGGTATTCAACTGCAGGTGTGTAAAGCACCTTTAAAAACAACTTATCAAAAGGCATCATTATGATCCTGTTCTTGGAGAAAATCAATGTTCAGACGATGAGTGTGTGTTTAGCAGTTACAGACACACAGACACAACCGTCTCTGTTTTCCAGTCATCTGTGAACCCCTTTTCATCTCCTCTCATCATCTTTAGACCTGGCTCAGGTTCCCCACCTTGATGCCCGCTGACTCTCACCCCCCCGAACCTCCACCCCCTCCTCTCTCACTCTTTGTCTCCAGGTCAGTAGATCAGTTTTCAGTCTGGCTCGTCTGGTGATCCCCGTTTTGGTTACCGTGTCCTTCTCACCTCTCGCTTACCCCCCACCTCTTCACCTCGCCTCCTACTCACCCCTTGAGCATATGGCCAGCTGCGTGGCCTGAACTCGGCTTTAATAAAAACATCAGAGTGCTGGTATCATCATGACAAGGGTCACGGGTCGGTTACAGTGTACGTGTGTGTAACAGGGAGAAGAAGGAGGGGCCAAGTGTGTGTCGCCGGTTTACAGCGCTTTCACCCTCTGACCCGACTGCACGCTGTATGTCATCGAAGGAAGAGTGTGCGCGTGGACGTATTCATGAAAGGGGATTGTGAGGTGATGACAGACGCTCATCATATTTAATCCTGGAAGGATTTCGCCGAAATGAAAAGCTGCTTTTCAATTTTATAATCCAGAAGACCTAATCTCTCCGCCAGCGTCCTTCCATACAGTCCAATTAGATGGACAAGACTAGCTGGATGAGTCCTATTCACCACAAACTCATTTCCATTTTCTGTCCTTGCTGTGTCCAAACACTCTGGCGCCCTGTGCTGTGAAAGCTCTGCGCTGACCTTCACCGAGGATTGTGAAACTGCGCAATGAACAAAGTCCCCCCAAAAAACGGTGCCGTCAACCCACCTGTTTGTACCACAGTCTTGGCCTTGTAAACGGAACATTGATTAGACTCTGTGTGTGTGTCTGTGTGTGTTTATGGAGCTGTAGGTGTGTGTCTTTGTTCAGCCACTGTGGCACCGCAACATCATCCACCCCCACACACACACACATACACGCGCCCAGGGTCCGTGGAGAGAGAAAATGCTCGCTCCAGTAAAAGAAGAAGAAGTGGCACGAGTGAAAACGCTGAGTCTAGTCATTCTTGGAGGACAGGGTGGCGCAGGGAAGACACACACAGAGAGCAGCGGCTAGGTGTAACGATTTATGGCAAAGATGGCTGCAGGACGACATAAAAGAAATGTGGGAGAACAAAGCAGAGGTAACATAAAAGTAAAGGGTGAGTAAGTTACAGAGTGCAGATAAAAAGAAAAGTTACACGAGTTAAAAACAAGTGCTGAGATCAAACAACATCTGTGACCTTTCACGTGGTTGACTTGAGGTCAGCAGACAAAAACAAAAAACAAAACCTGTTTGTTAGTTGAGGTTGTGTGTGGTTTGGTGTCTGGTGTGTGGGTCTGTGTGTTTAAGTGTGGTATTGGTTAGAGGGTAGAGAGAGGCCACTTTGGCCCATATTGACTGCAGTGCCATGTGACTGCTGCGATCATTACCATGTCCTGATGCCAATGGGTATCCTGATGACCCACATCTCAGCAGTCTACTCTCCCTCTCTGGCTGCCACCCAAACCAGGCCTCACTCTCTCTCTCTTTCTCTCTCTCTCTCTCACTCCCCCCTTTCTCCTTCAAAATCTACCAAGGTAGATTTGCCTGAATTTGTCTTAAACAAGATATTTGATTTTCAATTGACAGATGTTCGGATCAGAGATGGAATGATTCATTGGCCGAACAATTAACAACATTTGTACCTAATTGCCATTACATCAACATCAGCTTTCACAAGACCTATTTCAACATCATCTTTTCAAGGCAAAACACATGAATAATGGATTTATAAGCATCTATCTATCTATCTATCTATCTATCTATCTATCTATCTATCTATCTGACAGCCTTTCTTTCTTTCTTTCTTTTTATAATTTAACGCTACTATTAACTTTATATTTATTTATCTGAACAATCCAAGGTTCCTTGTGGTGACATCTTACTTATCCAACTATTTTTCTGTCAACATTTAGAAGGTGAAATAGTAATTCAAGTTTAGCAATTTTGTGATATTGGTTGGCCCCGAGCTCAGATACCTATTTCCTTCTTGATACTGAGTCCTATAACATATAACCTATAACATATAACATAGAGGATGTCAACCAAGCTGAGTATGGCTCCTATCACAGGTAAGGTAAAAAAATCAGTACTAGAATTGATAAACACAAAAAGCTCTTTTTTTTAACTGAATATATTGTTTTCATTCATAGTTTTTCTATCTTTGGCCAAATTGTAATCATTTCCATTTCTTTTGGTTGAATGAATCAATATTTCTGTGGTAGTGAGATATCTATAAGATAGTTTTCTCTTTATAGACTCAGATAGCCCATCATTATTAGCACTAAAAAAGTTTAGATGACCCCTAACAGAGAATTTTACCACACACACACACACACACACACACACACACACACACACACACACACACACACACACACACACACACACACACACACACACACACTTGCACCCTCTGACTGTCTCTCCCCTAATTTAATCTCCAACTCTTAATTGGCTCTCTCTGCCTTTTTTTTCCGTATTTCTGCCATCCCTCTCTTGCACAAAACGTTTCCCCTTCAGCTAACCTCTATCTCCCAACCCTTCTCTCTTGAGTATACATCTCTCTTACTCACTCTTTCCCCCCTTTTTTCTCTTCATTTTTGTAGTCATTCATGCCCATTGATATGGATATCCTTCCTCTCCTCTCTCGTCTTTCCTCACTGTGTGAACAAGTTAGATTTTAAAAAAGATCCAACACCATCGGACTGTGCTGTTTTATCATCTTATTACAGCTCTGATGCAATCTTTCTCTTCATCCATGACGCCCAGTTTCCTTTTTTTTTAACTTTCATTTTTCTTTATTTCCTATTTGGAGCACACTAGCTGGTCTTATGATGTGCTGACTTCAGATAAACACTTTTTAGAGTTTTCACTGACCCAGTAAAGTAGCTTTGAAATTCAAGCCCCCCCTCCCCTCCGTCTCGTTTACTCCATCTTCCTCGCCTCCTAACCTCCTATAATTCTCTCCCACTCTTGATCTAATGCTTTTCCAAATTCTGTTAGCGCCCTAGTTCCTACATTTGGCACATGCTCGCCACCTATTACTCCCTGAGTCTATCTCGCACTCGCACTCACATATAAAATGCATATGCCTTCACGGAATAAGCAGCCCCTCGAGCACAGTGACAGACACCCACCAACACAAACCTGCTCGTGTCGCCAAACTGTTAGCGTTAACAAATTCTGACACCGACGTGAATGCAGTCACGCACAAACACCCAGGGTCTTACACACTCGTGCACAGACAGCAGTGTATAAAACCACCAGCTCTTGGATATTTTAGGTGTGGGCTGGGGTGTGGAGGGGGCACACTCGACTGCAGCAGGGGAGTTAATTACCCTAAGCAATCAATAATTCATTACGCTGTCAGTTTGTGTGTCTGTGCCTCTACGTATGCTGGCATGTTTTGAGTACACGTAAGCATGAAGACCAAACTCTCCCAGTAAGCATTTTCTTTCCCTGGGAACGGCAGATTAAGAGGATTGACTTCATAATGGATTAACCTCTGGAGTGTGTGCGCCTATGAGGATGTGTTCAAGTTTCTGTGTGTGCACGCCAGTGAATGTGTGTGTGTGTGTGAATGAGTGTTGAGCAGGATCAGAGAGCCCATGTATGAATTGATTAGCCTAAGAAGCTCCTCTACTTCCTTTTAATGACCACATCAGCACTTTTTCACCACGGGGAGGATAAATGTAGAGCTGTCTGTCAATGAAATGAGACGCCACCCCTTTAAGAGGGGTTAGCTGTCACTCAAACGTCACTCTAGGGAGCACTCCCAGTGGACTAGGGAGACCCTGCTGTGTCAGTATGCCGACCATGATAGATTGTATGTGTGTGTGTGTGTGTGTGTGTGTGCAGGGGGAGAGTAGAGGGGTGAGTGACCGTCTCTATGTAACATTTATTTGTCAGCAGGACTTCAGCTTTTAACTAGCGCTTCCTAAGCAAACACCGAAGCCAGGGCATCCGTTATCTATGCAACTGAATCTGTTTACGGAATAAACATATATGCTAAATGGGTGAAAGCAGCTTGACAAGAGAAACACAAACAGAAAATGACCAATTACCCTGTTGGAAGCAAGTTTTCACCCACTCCCTCTTTATCCTGGCTGCAACTGAACTCCTCAGGGGTTGATACATATGGTCTCTCTTTCTCTCAAGCACACACACACACACATGCACGCAGTCATGCATGCTGGCACAAATGCACATTCACATATTGTTCGGCTACAGCAGGGGGGTTGACTCATGCCCCCTGTATTAGATCTTTCTTAACAGAGGGCTGATGTTTGACACGCCGCACTCACACATTCCGACAGCAGGGTACTGTCACACTGCTCACAGGCTTAGCATGCTGACACGGACTCGCAGGCGTGTGCACATACACTGACAGCTATTTTGTGGAGATAAAAAGGTGTTTAGACGTTAGCAATGGGGTGTGGGGTACAGTATGTCAGCAGATGTGTGAATGAAAAAGTGATGAGGCAAAGGGTAGAGGAGTTGTGGAAGACAGATATCAGGAGAAAGAGTGTGGACAGAAAGCCAGCAAGAGCTGACAAAGAAGAGAGTTCACACAAGGATGAGACAAAGCTAACACAAAAGTTGAGGGTCTATAGACTGTAGCTGTGTTTCCTCCAGGAAGTTTCCCAGGCACTGGGGACTGTAGGGGGGGTACTAAGTGAAATCCCATTGTGCGGTCAGGCTGCAGACAAAGTCATGGGGATTATACTCTGACCTTTATAAGCTCCCTGCTAAGGAGCTGCAACTTTGTCAAAGAACGATTTGGACATTCAGGACAAAAGAAATTAGGCAGAGCAGTCTACCAGGATAACCAGCAGCTTTCATAAGATTCAGCAGACTTTTTGCTGTGTTTTCTGTGTGTATTTAAAACAAAAAAAAGTTTCCAACAACTGACCGGAGGAACCGTTTACTCCTTTAGGAGTAGCAATGTAGACTGAAGGGTGTGTGTAATTTTGGTGGAATTGCAGTTTGTGTCACCTCAAACCCTTCCAAGAGCTCCTACCTGTTTGCTGTACTTGTTCCCAGTCTGGCAGCCATACTCTGAGCACTGGTCAGATCCAAGGGACATGGCATCGGCATTTCCACTACCCCCACTACTGCTGCTGCTGGAACCGGCACTCCCCACACAGCCCCCGCTGCCCACAAAGGTGTTGGAGGGAGGCAGGTCCTGGACCGCCTGGTGCTTCTTCCCCTCTGCAGGTGGCGAATGAGGCTGTAGATTCACAGCAGGGAGAGGCGAACTGGATTTGTAGTGCCTGGCCAGATCTGGGCTGGACTGGTGTCTCCTTCCACCGCCCATCCGTGGGCTGCCGGGGTCACCGTCCACAACACAGTAGCGAGCGGCCAGGCGCTCACTCGCGCTGCTCAAATCCTCTTCGTCATCATCGGCATGGCGTCGCAGCCCATTCACCGTGACGATACCGCTGTAGAGTGATCTGTCTGACTTCCCTCCGCCCGCAATAGGACCGCCACCACTCCCATTGCGTTTATCCCTACGAGGTTTGCGTCCACGATCTGACCCCCTGCCACGGCTGACCTGTGGTTGGGCTCCTGGGGGACTAAAGAAGTCTTCCTCTGGCTCCTTCTTTCCAGCCTCGTAGCCGTTCTTACCCTGAGCACCACACTGTCGAGCCGTGACTACGAGGAGGATGACCAGGATAACCGCCGCAGCTCCCGCCAAGACGCCAATAGCTACACTGAGGCGTTGTTTCCCCAGTGCTCTCTCGCTGTCTGGGTCCCCCGCAATGTCTAGTGAGAGTGGAGCCATCAGACTTCGGGCCACCTGGAGTGAGAGAGTGGAGAAGATGAAGAGGAAAGAAAGAGAAGCAATAAAATAATGAGAAAAAGTACAAAGCAGCAGCCGTAAAAGATGACAGTGGGTGTGAGCCACAGAGAAACATCAAACAGCATCTTCAACTTAATTAAACCCATCACTGTGCTTTAGTGGGGGAACTTCTCCATGATTCCCAGGCACACTGAGTGTCACTAAATATATAATTGCTCTCTCTTCCCAGTCGTAGCATTTCATGTTGTGCTTGTGATTCTCTACCTGTGCACTGGGGCAGGAAAATCCTGCTCAGGATTTCCTCGAACTTAGAATTTTAGAGCTCTGTGTAAAAATAAAAGCAAACTTGAAAGGGTTAGATTAAAGAGGAAAAGTAGGAGAAACACTCAAAATGTGCAAAAAACGTACAAAAAAAAAGCAAGACATGCTATGACTACACCCCCGGAACTCAAACACATCTACTGTCTCATCAATGAACAATGTCTCTATTGTAAATGATAGCGTAGGCGTGGATTTGCAAAGGATTTTCTATCACATTTTGTACAGACAATAGGATGGACAGACAGACAGAAGGCTACTGTAAATATGTGATTTTTATGGAACGGTTTAAAGAGACATTTTCTTTTTGTCTCCATGGGATCTCCGGTTTAATGCTCAGTTAAGCATTGTGGTTCGATGCCATGCAAACCCTTGTAATGAATTTTGATCCAAATATGTATTAAACTTAAGAAATGTTTTATATTTGGGTTGGAGATAGAAGATACTAATGACTATGATTTCCCATTATGAACACATGCACAGGCCTGAGGCTACCCTCTCTCCCACTTGCACAGACACACACACAAACAAACACACGTATTTGCTCTGAGCTTGTACGCTAATAAAAGGATCATTACAAGAAAGTGGGTTATGCTCAAACACAAACACAGCCATTACTTGTTATGGAGCCTTGCTTGATGGGAAACAATGAGGCAGTGGAGTTCTGATCTGCAGAACCCTGCTGGCAATATGGGTCAGGGTCATGAATCTGAATATCTTGAATCAATACATAACAAATATGTCTGGCGTGTTGGTATGCAGGGAGGGACAAGATAGAATACCAGAAAACATATTCAAACACACTCTGATGTATGCATGTACCTGCACGAGCTGACACAGAGTCTAAGATGTCCATTAAGCTGGAAACTCATTTCCCAGCACTGACACCTTGTCTCAGAACTCAAATCACAATTCCTTTGGCCTGTCAGGGCTGGAAATTATATACTCATGTAATCCCTACTGCCTAAAGAAGGGCGGGTAATAAGGCTCGCAAGACTGAACGGGAAGAAGGCAGGGATTGAAGGTGAGAGAGAGAGAAGAGTTAAATCTGAGCCTCCTTGGTTTGTAATAACCAAATAGCATAACTGCAGTATGGCCGGGAGTTTCAGCAATACTGCAGAGAGTATTGCACAGACAACTCCACGGCGTCACTTGCTTATTACGTTATCCCAGGAATATTAGGATTACTCATATAGAGCCACATCATTCACTCTCACTTCATATTGCCCCCGAGCAAAAGAGGGTAGTGTGTTATTTTTCATTGTTTCATCACCATCTGTCTCTGGGTTAAGTTCCATTGTTTTTTAAAAGAGTTGTGTTGGTTATATTCTATTATCCTGCTTCCACTACTGTGGGGCCTCTCCACCAGGCTCCGCTCTCCCTTCAGCCCCCATTGTTCTGCTTTAGCCTGCAGTATACCCTACCATTCTCATTCTGCTGGGCATCTCCCTGGCTTAGCGCATCCCTGCGCTGCCTGCTGTATTGTGTGTGAAACAGGCACAGAGAGTAGAGATGCAGTGCCATATGCCCAATATACTTGACAGTGCAATACCCGAGTTTGTGCTTTGGCATGTGCGTGCAGGCGTATGCGACAGCAAGGTGCACAGGAAAGTGCAGTTTCAAATGTGCGTGTGTACATTAGAGGGAGAGGTACCTTCCGGAGTACATCCTATGTATAGTTGTCCAAATGCAGCTGTATCTACTGTATGTGTGTGTGTGTGTGTGTGTGTGTGTGGGTACACGCAGAACGGTAAAGTGTTCGGCTGGTTAAGTGCAGCAGCCACCTCTAGCGCTGTGTTTGAATGCATCCCTCTGACGTTTCCCCAAACTCCCAGAGGAATCTTCTATTCTGCTGCATGAGCTTTGTTCCGGCTGAGCTTAACACCACCATCTATCTGCTTCACTCTCTAAGGATTCTGTTATCTGCATGCTGCTGCAGATGCAGATGCAGTGACCAAGCAAAGGGAGTTCTCCCTTGACCACACTATTTACCAAAGCCTATGAAGTGCCTGGTCTTTGTTTCAGATCAATGCATCCACAGCTTAGCAAGGGAACACAAGGCTGCAGTGTGGCATTTGTAAGGACTGTTTCTTATATTAATAGCGAGTTGACTGATGTATTTTGAAAGCTGGAAACACCACATTGGAAGAACTGAAACTCTAGATCAGAGATGAAATACAACGTGAAAACCTTTCACTGATTTATTTCCTTCTGATTCTGAAGTGTTTTTTTTTTCCTGACAAAACACAAAACACCATTAAGTTTCTCCAAAGACAACTATATCAGAAATATTACAACTACATCTTCAAGCTCAAACTCTGCGGCATCACATCCAAGCTAATTACCCAACATGTGGTTCACCCAGTGCTGCTGGAAAGAAAGGACTGGAGTCATTTTCTGCCGCGGTGCTGCAGCAGTAGCAGCCGTTTTCCTTCCCTAATTACATCTGGCATCTATCCACCACTCAGTTTGACTTCATTATGAGATGGAGGTATTCTATTCAATGACTTCTACACAATTACTCCACCAAGATCCTGCCTACTATCAAGCTAAACTATGCATATTGTAATCAAAGATAGCTTTTATAGCGGTTGGACATATTACACCCTATTGTTACAGTCAATGGCCTCGCTCATTTCGGCACATTGTAGTTAATGCTACCTGTCATCGGCATTGTTCAGCCTCTTACTTAGAGTTCTGTTCAAGTCCTCGCTCTCTTGATGGTTCAATTTGTACTTTTTATTCTACTTTCAGGGGACAGAGTCAGAATTCTACCCAAATTTTCTTTGGTTATAAAAAAAGGACCTTTAAACACAGATTTTTGTGTTCTGCAAGTTAGTCATGACTATGAAGTTGCCTTTGTAAAGGATATATATATATATATATATGTCCTGTTTGAACAAGGATAGAATAAGGATACAGAGAGCTAAAATGAGAAACAAAGTACTCTGTTATTATAGTTGTTGTGCCACTTTCTGAAATAGCTATACAGTAACATAATTTCAAAAAATGAAGACTCAGCTGCAGTTTATATTATCACTTGGAAATCTCATATCTTCCCCAGGTGGTTTGAAGAGTTGAAACAGCAAGGAAAGCACAACAAAATGAAAACGTACCCAGTTTAGAGAAGTAGAGCAGCACTTTCGGCACGCATCTGCATTGTAAGCTGTCCCTCAAAGATCACAATCAGTATTTCAGGGTACCAAGAAAATCACGGCTTTGAAATGTTTTGGAGACTTGTGCGTCTTATCTGCCTGACTGTTCCTTCCCTCTGAAACGTCTTAGAGCTTATTTTGGGGTTAACGTCGTGTTACATGCAGAGAACTGACAATCTAAGACTTCTTCCCTCTGAGAAAATACGAGAGTATGTTCTAACTTGAGTTTCAAGTGGGGGTTAAAACCACAAGCTGTGTCAGAGCAAACACTGCAACCACAAGGCAACTGAGCCCATTTAATTATTAGTCAATACAAATTACGATCTCCACACCAGGGACAAGGCTTCAGTAATTATTACCTGCCAGCATTTACAGCATAGATGAACATTTTTAGAGCATAATGGGAAGTTTGTTTGATTAATACAATCAGGGCAAAGAGGGGAGAAAGGTTTTCACCAGCTAAAGCATTATCTAAATTTGAACTCATGCTGTTGTAGTGATTTCAGTATCTCCGTAATGTCTGCTCAATTGCCTCTTCACCTCTGTATGGATCTTTAAAGCAATCTAATCTTACTGTGAGGTCCTCAGGTCAAGACAACCACACAGTCGTATTCATTAAAGCGGGTGTATTCCTTATTCCCTTTACTCATCATAAACATTACTCATTCTAATTCACAGTGGTTTCTCATTTAATCTACTGAGTCTGACTACTTCAGTACTGCTCAGGGTGCTCTGCGTGTCACTGTGAAAACTTCTAAACCTCATTAATATGCAGGCCTTCACCGAGGAGACACTGCTTAACTAAAATACAACTTCTACACAAATGAACATACTTCAACCTAGTCCAAAGTACAAGGCCAAAACTGGGACAGGCCCCCCCTCCTCTCTCTCAACACCACTCTCACACACTCATTTCTAATGCTCTCTCTGTTTCTGTCACACACACACACACATACACACATAATGCTCTGAGCTCTGAGTTTAATGTACCATAAAAGAGGCACTTCAGTAATAGCAGTTATTTCAACCACATAGTCATTATAAGAATGTATGCTGGACAAAGAACATCCAAACTACAAAGACTTTGGCGTTGCCAATAGCCGTCAAAAGGGAAATGGGGTTCTTTATCTTGGACAAATACAGACCCAAATGCTTCCTTGGAAATGGGCGGCAAATTGTAACTTTATGCAGACTACGAGAATTGCCCATTTTTCTCATTTTATCAAAAAACGCTTTAATTTAAAGAGCTACTCTCAGTTGTCATTATCATCTTCTGCCTTTGTAATGTGTTATCAGACTGCCCATTATTTGAACTGATCAAAGGACAGCATCACTTTTGTAATATTTGGTTATCATAACCAACTCTGCGTAGCCATAGAGGATCCTACAATCACTCTAACACGTGGATGTGTGTTTCTTGGTGTCTTCAACAACCACAACATAATTACCTGCGCGTCCACCAGGGTGGCATTGGCCAAGCTCTCATTGATGAAGATGTGAACCAGAGCAGTGGCGCACAGTGAGGGGACCCCACTATCGTTGACTCGAACTACCAGGCGATGCAGTCCCCTGTGGCGTCTCTCCAGAGGTTCAGCCAGGGTGATCACTCCATTAGTGTGGCCAATCTCAAACAGTCTGAAGGGGTTCCCCCCAACTAGAGCATAGCGAAGGTCTGCATTCGGGCCAGCATCAGAGTCCAAGGCTGTGACAGTCCTGACAATGGTGCGAGCACTGCTGGCAGGTGGAAGGAGGGTGTAGGACTCATTGGCTGGAGAGGTGATTGAAGGAGCGTTGTCGTTTTCATCCGTCACAAACAGTGAAACAGTCGCGGTGGCAGTTTTGCGAGGCTCCCCTCCGTCCACAGCTCGAACACGGAAAGTGTAGGTGGAAAGCTTCTCACGATCAAATGATGCCGAGGAGAAAATAGTTCCTGTGTTGTTCTCAATGGAAAAAACCTCCTCTCTCTCTTTCTGGCTGTCCTCTCCATCTAACTTCTCTCCTGTTTTCTTATCATCTGCTCCATCCATCTCCACGAATAAACTTAGCTCTGCGTTTTCACCTTCGTCAGCATCAGTCACTGTGACCATGCCAACTGGGCTGTTGGCGAGCAAGTTCTCCTTCACATAGAAAGTAAAGATTTCCTGAACAAACTTTGGTGCGTTGTCATTGCGGTCGGTCACTTGAACCACAACAGTGGCAGAACCTTGCAAGGATGGGGTACCTTTGTCCTTGGCAATAACCCGTAGCTCATATCTCTCTCGCTGCTCACGGTCCAGTACCCCAGTGGCACGGATATCCCCGTTATCTGCATCAATGTAAAACGGCCCATTTGGCGATGAATCCAGGGAGTAAGCAATCTCAGCATTCTTGCCACTGTCAGCGTCTGTGGCCACCACAGTGACCACTCGTTCGCCTGGCGAGTTGTTCTCAGCAAAGTGGACTTCCACGACGCTCTGGGCGAAGGTTGGAGCGTGATCATTGATGTCTACTACTCGCACCATCAGTGAGCTGTTGCTGGACAGACTGGGACTACCAGAATCTACAGCCACGATGGTGACACTGTACTCTTTGGTGACCTCGTAATCCAGCAAGGCAGAAGTATGCAGGAAGTATTTTTTCTTGTTCCTGTGAAAATAAAGAAATTTGATAAATTCTTTGAAGGCAGAAGCTACTCTTTGGAGAAATAACACGGGTACTTTCTCATAAGTTGTAGTGCTGCTCTCTTGATGTGAATTTTCTGACTCATCAGCTTTTGCCAGAAGTCAATGTGTTGATAATTTGAGTGTTTTTTTTATGACTAACAAAAAACAGTAAGTAAAAATGAATTTCTTAGATACATTCCTCAAGTCATGAGAAATGTAAGAGTGAGGAATGTTGTCCAAAAAACAAAAAATCAGCCCAAAAACATGATGATGATTGGAGTTATTTCAAAGGAAACCCAGGACCTACTGTGATATAAAACAAAGACCAACTTCAGAGTTGGTCTTTGTTGTTTTGTCTTATTCAATGACAATTATTGACAATGATTACATGAAAGTGTCCTTGGCAAATTTATGGCCTGCCTACTCAACTGACGTCATCTGCATAATCAGAGATTGGTAGGCAATCCAGCACAGCATCATATCAAAGCATGAAACAACACCAAAAAGCCTTAGCAACTGGCAATATACATTCTTATGAATAGAGTACACCCAAGACGCCCATCACTGCCAGAAGTATCAGGGCCAAAGAAAATCAGCAAAATGCTCACAATGAAAAGCTGGCTTCAGAAACTAAACAGAGCTTTTCTTTAAAAAAAAATTACTGAAATGCTTGTGAAAAATATCTGGTAAACAACTTTCTGTCAATTAACTGTGGTTGAAATGTTTTGCCATGTGGAGCACTCAAGGTTTTAAGAAACCCTCCTGCTGAACTGTGGCAAACTGCAGACATCAATGATGGAAAAACTGTGACAGATTTTTTTTAATTAAATGAACTAATTGATTCACTGAAGACCTGATGATCGTTACTTTGATTAAGAATATTCTTTAGTCAAGCACAGCCCAACAATCAATATCATAAACAACCTCATCCTACAGGCTTCATAAGCAGGAGCACAGTGCCCCTCTCTCTTTCTCTCCTTTCAATAGCTCCAGGAAATATCTTCACTCTCTCTGGAGAGCACTGACATTTGGAGCCTTTGCTGCAGGAATAATATAGCTAAAAAGTCCCAAACCTTTGAATTTAATGAACAACACACTCAAAGTTAACAGATATTTGACATTCTGACTATTGTAGCCTTTGTGAGTGACTGGCAGTACAAAACAAAGCCTAAATGAAGTCTGCCTTCAATGAAACTCTTTCTGAACTCTGTTCTGGGAATTCAGATTAGAGAAAAACACCTCCTGGAGCAGAAGTGTGGGTGAGGCTCATAAACGCTGCATACTGCAGTCAAGATTAGAAAGCATATATGATAAAGACAGCATCAACCCCTAATAATAAGACCTTATTGTGTTGATGCAGTGTTATGTTTCACACCTGAAATCACGCTATGTAGAGACACTTCCTGAATAACTCTGGATCAAGGCCTGTAGAGTATATAATTAAAAAGCAGATTGCTAAATGACATGTTAATTAACATGTGTCCTGCAATTATGCTAATTTTCCTAATGAATTATAACCAGTTTTAAATGAACTGTTCAATGTAATTTTAAAACTGGTGCTTCATTATACTTGTTCTAATTCTATCTGCCTATTATGAACAAAATTGAACATGTTGACCCCCCTCAGGTAAAATGGTGCATATATTGGGCTCTTATTAAAATGCATCATTATTTCATGGGTACTTTAAGGTAAGTTGTGCATTATCCCACTTACAGAATTTCACCCTCTGAGTTCAAGTAACTACCTGTGTGCATTAAGATTATTAAAGTTAATCAGGCACTTTTTCTTCCTCTGTAGTTCCTTCCACTGTAATGGCTCACCTGTGGTTTGGCTTACCTGTCAAAGGCTTCATCTGCAGGTAGAGGTGGGAGAGCAGTTTCCCCTGCTGGCTTCAATGTGAATGGAACGTCTCCTACAACTGTGCACGTCACAGCCCCGTTCTCTCCCTGGTCTCGGTCGGACACCTGCACCAGAGCTACAGGTGTGTCCACCAGAACATTCTCAGGTACCAAGGCTGCCCCGTCCCGGACAGGGATCCGACCAATCTTTCTGATCTCTACCACTGGAACATTGTCATTTTCATCGCGGACAGCCAAAACTACTGTGGTTCGGTCAGTGCGGGGTGGCTGACCTCGGTCTCTGGCTGTTACTGTAAACCTCAGCTGAGCAACCTCTTCTCTGTCAATCCTGTGAAGAACACTAAGCCATCCGGTTGCCTCATCTAGGCGCAAAAGTCGCCTCACAGATTCAGTGGCAGCTCCAAAGACGTACTCCACCTGCCCGTTGACTCCGATATCACGGTCTGAGGCTCTAACCTGAAGGACAGGAGTGCCTGGCGGCGCATTTTCTGCCATTTCTGCCTCGTATGTTGACCTCTCGAACTGTGGGCTGTTGTCATTAACATCGGTGATTGAAACACGTAGGAGGGCTTGGGAGGAACGCGGTGGGTTCCCTCCATCTCGAACCCTGAGGACAAGCTCATATGAGTCTTTTTGCTCACGATCCAATGTGCCCTTCACAATAAGCTGAGGTTGCTTTTCACCATCTGGTATATCTGCGACTTGCAGTTCAAACACAGTGCTTCTAGCTCCTCCTCCACTATCTCCACTTCTACCCCTACGCTCCCCAAGGCCATCCACTCTGGTAATGGGGTTTCCTCCCGCTGTGCGTCTAGTTGAACTCGACCCAGCCGCGCCATCTTGGATCAACTCATAGCGGTCTATGCCATTTCGCCCAAAATCTCTGTCTGTAGCTGTGGGCAGCAGGTAGAGGGTTCCTATGGGGCGATTCTCCTCCACTGACAGCTGGAGCACAGGTGAGGGGAAGGAGGGTGTGTTGTCATTGATGTCTGTTATGACAACACGGCCTTCAAACAGGTCTACCCAGCTCTGCAACGGCCCTATCACTGACACCTCAAAGTCCAAGAAGCACTCATTTTCATCAAAGATCATCTGACACTGTGGGAGCTTCTCTCTGTCGATGCGCCTCGGCCCTGTTGTCAGCTCACCTGTCACGTTGTCAATCTTGAAGAACTCTGACCCACTCTCCAGGGCGAAGGTGACGTCCCCGCTCCCTGTACCTGCCGTGAGGCCCAGGTCAGCGGCTACATTTCCGATCTTGACGTCAGGTGGGCCCTCTTCCGCCACCCGGTACCGGAGAGCTGAGTCGGCACCCGGTAGCTGAGTCAGCAGCTGCAGCACTAAGACCACGAGGCTGAGAGCCTGCGCCGCTGAGGAGTGCACTGCACCAAGCCTCTGCATGGCTTCCTTCTTCTTCTTCCTCACGCCTCTCTCCTCCGAGCTGTGTCTGCCTCCGAGCTGCGGCTTGTCTTCTCCTTTTACTACTGTTTCGTGGTCTGTTGTACCTCACAGCGTGGGTGTTTGATTTATCCTTCCTTGCCTTCCTCTCCCTATCGCTCTCTGCGGACTGCCGCCTGAGGTCCGGAGAAAAGCTTCCGCACTCCCTCTATACTTCACTTCGGAGGTGTAGGCTCCTTTCTTTTCTTCTCTCCGGCACTCTGTGGAGCTTCTTCAACTTCTATAATCGCGGTTTCGCTCTCTTGCTGGGCTGTTCAGGCCACATAGATATAAAAAAAATCCATCATGCGGTGCAAAAAAAATGAAAACTTAATTCATCAGACTTTGATTAATCCACTTCACTCTTCCACGGTCCTTTCTTCCCCGAGCTATCCCGTTTTGTCACACGAGGACGCTTATCAGTTCATAATGCCATTTGTAAGTTCTTTTTATTCCAGTCACATTTGGGACACCGGCTTTTCTGGCGTTTTTCACAGTTAGAAACTGCAATGCAGCACAGCACAAAAGAGAGAGGAGAGGGGGAGAGGAAAAAACACTGCTCGGCTCTCCGGACGACGAGGCAAAAATTAACTCACATCCCCCGAAAGAGGAATAAAACATCAGTTTGGTCAAAGTCTTTAGGATGCTGCGGCTGGATCTTTCCTTACCTCCACATCCAGATGCGATTTGTTCCTCTTTTTCTCCCCCCGCAGTGGAAGCAACGTGCCAAAGCGTTGGATTCCTTCACGTAAGTTGTGGAGACAAGAGTGCGAGTTTCTCTCTTCTCTTCTCTCATACAACAGAAAATAAGGAGCCTCTCTTGATGGGGCTTAACAGGGAGATCCCAACTGCATCATCAGTTTAGCGTAAATCCTGTGCAGCCTGTGTCCGGGATGGATGGATGGACTGAGTGTAGATGCGTCTTTTTTTTTTCCATGAGTCCCGCATTCTCTCTCTCACTCTCTCTCTCTCTCTCCTCCACATGCGCCTCCTCCTCCTCCTCCTCTGGCTTTTTTTCCCTCACCTGCACTGCTTGGGACTGCTGCTGCTGCCGGTCTCGAGCGATGCTGCAGTCTCTCTCTCTCTCTCTCTCTCTCGCTACTGCAACATTTTCCCCGGCCGCGTAACTCGATCGCTGAGCTGTAACGGGAGAGGCAGCAGAGGCGGTGTTGGGTCGCTGTACTCTGAGTGTGCGTGTGTGTGTGTGTGTGTGTGAGAGAGTGTGTGTGTGTCGGTTACTAGAGACAGACCTCACCTCCTCCTGTCATATAGGAAGATTAAATGGCTTGGTGTCCCGGCTGCTGACAGCTCCTGGTGGTGGTGGTAGGGGGGGAAATATCTTTATTCACACATTCATATCATACAGAGGACAAAGGAAAGAGAGAGTGATCTGGCTTTAATGCAAGTCAGCCCCTGTGCACTGTCACATTTCTGCTGGTGCAGCTTTTTTTTTATAGTGGGGCACGTGTGGAAGGTTTCATTCATCCTTTTCTGAACAAGGCAGAAATTGTCACCTACTCTCTAACATAACCTAATGGGGAAACTGCAATAATATTCATTCATAGTAATTCACACTGCAGACCAGAACTGCCTAATGTTCCAGCCCATAATGACTCCTTTGTACTTCACTGCACTGCAACCAATATTTTAAGGAGAGATTCATTTGAATGATTGAGGAGTAATTTGGCTCACAAATGCGTAAAAGTCATCTGTTTCTTATTCTACAAATGTATTTTGGAGTCCAAAGAGCCACGCTTTCTGTTGTTTCTTTGTCAGTATCCCCCTCCCGCCTCATACACACATACAGGAGTGTTCACACACACACACACAGTGCTGAGAGGATGTTGTCTCTCGGCGGGCCGACCTGCTCTGAGAGAGAGAAGCGCATTGCAGCAGCGGTCTGCTGCTACTATTGAACACTACCGGCGCATCATCCAGGCTGCCGCTCTGCTAAAACCCCCGCTGCATTTCTAATTTCTAAGCCAGTCCGACCATTTGTAGGACCAACTGTGCACTCACCCCCACCAACCCCCTCTCCAGCCTGGCAAGAAAGGAGGGAGTTCCCCCAATATAATGCGATTGAGCGAGAGAGAGTTGTGTGCAGCAGCAGCAGCAGCTATTAGTGAACACTTGACGGCTGGCAGACAGTAAACAAAGACTGGCAAACTGCAGTGAGGGATCATATTTCTTACTTCCTCTCACTCTCTTTCATTTCCATCATGAGTTTTTCCTCTCCAACTCCTCTGACTCTCTGCTGCACCAGCACAAACTTGCCAATGCGCGTGAGCTTGCCTCGGGAGCCTATGTGCTTAGCATTCCGGAGGTATCGTCACGCGCCCGCTTCAAGCGCACCCACGCCCTCTGTCGTCCGACCTACGTGAGAGTTTTTTCCCCACTCCTTCGAATCAATCGCGGGATGCGCACTGTGACCTGTGAACGCGTGCGTTAGCGTGCGTGTGTTATGAAAAAGGAAGAGGAAAAGACTGAGGAGGGTGAGTTTTAGAGAGGAAAACATCTGTGTGTGTGTGTGTGTGTGTACGTGTGTTGTTTGGGTAAGGTCAGTTCAATTCGAGTTCAGTTTCAGAAAATTTAAGTCATATTTGACCCTAATGAAAAAAACATCTTATAAAAATCTGTCGGCCAGAGCATGCAGTTATATCCAACCCATTAAGATATAATTGAGCATGAATCCTCTTTCATCAGCAAATGAACAGCAGTTTCAATTTGCATATTGAATGAAATGCGGTGTGTGTATGTGGTTGTGTGTGTCTGTGCACTTATGTGTGTTGTTGCTGAAAGCAGGATTTTCTTTGGAGAAACATAACCTAGGTTGACATCCACTCTAGCCTAAAGGCCTAATCTAGTGTTTGTGCCATCACAAAAGAGGATCACAGCGTCAACGCATTGTCCACAATGATAATTGTAAAACAAATGAAGACAATCTTGACATACACATTTTCTAGACAACTTAAATCTTATTGATCATATTTGCCAAGATTTCTGAATTAGTGCGGGCTTATTCCTCAGGCTATAAAGGCATAAGTCTGGGATAGTTCATCTGTGGAAATGTTTGTTCAGCCATTCACTAGCTTTGTGCCCTTTGGTTCAGTTATCCTATGGCAAACATCAAATTAGGGCAGCTCAAGCAAACCCTATGTGTAGCAGCTTCTGTCTAGCAGATTTGAGTAATCTGTTTTTAACTTGCTGACGGAAAGACACCAAGCCTTATGAATCTAATCAGGTCAACAGCAATTTAACCATAATCTTATGTCACCATGAGTACAAAGTTCCTTGAACTCTGTTAAGCAATTACTTCTCATATTAACATCCCTGTCTCACTTTTTATCTCCTAATAACACATGAAGGTTGAAAAACTTAAAACGAAGGTAACCTTCTTTGCCATTTGAACAATAAATAGCACAAGGTTGACATCATTACACTGTCAGTGTTTTGTAGAAGGAAGTGTTTGGTACTGAGTCAGGACTGAAATTTATTGTTTGGATTGAAATAACTAAGTTGCTTCCATCAGTTAAAGGGATATTCCAGCGTAAAATTAATTTAGGGTCAAGTACACTGTAACACCGAGTTAGACACCCCCTCAACCAGTCTCAACTCAACTCAATAATCTCAACCAAAACGCCACTCTGTAGGCACAAATAATGTTCAGAACGGCACCTAACTTCATCAACAGTACAGATAGGGTCCCAGCCATAGTACGAGCCTCCAAACATCTTTTTAATTTCGCCTAATTTCTTTTGTAAAGAGACTAAACACAACTCACCTACTCTCTTCCAGCAGCTGCTTGTTTGTAGTGAGACCTCAGGCCAGTCCATTACAGACTGCTGCAGGGGTGACACAGCTCAAGGAAGAACATGATCATTACTTCATGGAAATACAATCGGACTGAGACGCTAAGGCAGAAGAACTACCGCATCTGTAGTGCAAAATGTTTAATATGATAATTATTACTTCAAGGAAATGATAGAGTAATGATCATAAATGTTCTTCCTTGAGCTGCGTCACCCCGCTGTAGTCTGTAATGGACTGGCCTGAGGTCTCGCTACAAACAAGCGGCTGCTGGAAGAGAGTAGGTGAGTTGTGTTTAGTCTCTTTGCTAAAGAAATTAGGCAAAATTAAAAAGATGTTTAGTGGCTAGTGCTGTGGCTAGGACCGTATATATACTGTTGATGAAATTAGGTGCTGTTCTGAGCATTATTTGTGGCTATAGAGTGGCGTTTTGGTTGAGGTTTGTTTATGGCTCCTCAGATTGCTGTGTATTGCTATCGTGCGGTCGTTACTAAAGTTGGTAAAACTAAAGATGTAAGCAGTAAGCTACATACATCTCTCAAGGGGCTGTCCAATTCTGTGTTACCGTGTGTTTGACCCTAAATTCATTTTACGCCAAAATATCCCTTTAAAGCACAAACATAGAATTTTAGCTGCAGTTCGGTTGATTTAATGTCTGTTAAATCAACATCTCTGAAGTCATGTTACTAATACGCTCTCACTTAAGATGTAAATAAATAGTCCTTTTATCAGGCAGAAATTTGGAGGTTCACTGAGTACTTATATCAGCATGACTTTGAGACTGACTCAAAATAATTGCAGCATCAGTGTTTGTCATTAATATTAGACACATAACTCGGCACCATAGTGCTGCTCAGCCATGTGTTTTTAATAGTTTTGGGATCACAGTACAGTGTGTCATATAAATAAGACAGTGGATTGACAGAGAATAGTGTGGTGTGGTTTGAGTGAAAGCCTGCTAGTTTATAATCCGTTTCATTTCGATTTCAGAGTGTATTATTTTTTGATTGACTCCATCTCAAATTCACTACACAGCCCAAGGTCAGATGAAACTCAGCCAGCTCTCAGTTCACTGACCAACAGACAATACGACGCTTCTTCATCAACCTTCTCTTTAACAACCTATTCCTAAAATCTCGCACACGGTCTCACTAAATCGCAACATAAATGGGCAATTGCAGCTTGTTCTTCATAAATGTATGAATACATCAGTTATGAAGCAGACACATGCATGAATCCGGCTCTTAGATTTTGAGGGACAATCTGCTGAGCACTAATTGTCATGTACTTGTGGCACAGTTGGATGTTAGAGCTGTAACAGTAATGATGAAACCCCTCATTAGAAGCTTTCAGCCGCAGAAGTCCAATCCTCAGACAAGTCTGCATCAAAGGTGTTAATGACTACAAGTATGTCACCATGACCTTGGTGGTTATAACACTCTTCCACAGTCTTGTGTGAATCACATTAGCGACCACCTCTTGGACCCTCTGCATTTCACCTCCTACGCAGACCAGCAGATACAAGCCCAGGGATATGTGGAAGGATCCTGCCTGGTGCTGGACTTTAGCTCAATGTTCACTGCTTTGATCCATGAACCGCCTCACACTAAGCTCTCCTGACTCACTGGGCCTCCCTCCACCTGTCATAGGATCAGCAGCTTACAGAAAGGTAGGAGAAAGCAAATGAGCCTGGCAAAAGCCAAATCCAATACCAGTGTTCAGTGCTGCTGGACACCATGCGCGCTCGTCCCGCTTGACACACAAATGAATGTGTGCCCCTTCAAGGGATCCTTTGCTAACCTTCTTAAGTAAGCAAGTAAAGCTTAATAGTCTCGTCTCAGCTGCTGCTAGAAGTCTGCAGTCCAAGGGTTGGTTAAATTGTTTCGACACAAACCAACACAGAGAGAAAAATATGCACACAGAAGTGGGGCTGAGGATCACTCAGGAAAAAGTGCCTCCTTAGGTGCCAGGCCAGACTGAGGTTGGGTACAGAGTTTTGCAGGGAGGGCATAAATTATGTGTATAAATGTGGATGTAAAAAATGTATTTCCTCTTTTCTTTATCCACTAACTTTATGTACTTTGACTACTAACACCAAAGTATGGTAAAAGATATTGTAGGATTTAAAGGGATATTCTGGCGTGAAATGAATTTAGGGTCAAACACACTGTAACACAGAGTTTAGACAACCCCCCAAGAGATGAATGTTGCCGACCACTTGCTTCTCTAGTTATACCAGCTTTGGTAATGACTTTATCTTTATCATTTCCTTTAAGTAATAATCACCATACCAACCATTTTGCACTGCAGACGCGGTAGTTCGTCTGTCTTAGCGTCTCAGTCTGATTGTATTTCCATGAAGTAATTATCATAAATGTTCTTCCTTGAGCTGCGTCACCCCTGCAGCAGTCCATAATGGACAGGCCTGAGGTCTCACTACAAACAAGCGGCTGCTGGAAGAGAGTGGGTGAGTTGTGTCTCTTTGCTAAAGAAATTAGGCGAAGTTAAAAAGATGTTTGGTGATGAGTGCTGTGGCTGGGACCCTACATGTCCTGTTGATGAAGTTAGGTGCTGTTCTGAGCATTATTTGTGGCTATAGAGTGGCTTTTTGGTTGAGGTTTGTTTATGGCTCCTCAGACCGCTGTGTATTGCTATCGTGCGGTCGTTACTTAAGTTGGTATAACTAGAGAAGCAAGCAGTCAGCAACATTCATCTCTCAAGGGGGTGTCTAACTCAGTGTTACAGTGTGTTTGACCCTAAATTAATTTTACGCCGGAATATCCCGTTAAGATGTATCTAGTTACTAATTATAGGGAGAGTTTGGCTCTTTCAAAGTGAGATTGTGGGTCAACAGCAAGTGTATTCCCCAGTGGTGTACCAGTCAGCTGTAGTCTTTTTTGTTGAGAAACTGACTAGAGTTCAAACAGAAGCTACGGTATCTACCACTGAAGATGAGGTCAGTTTCTGCTTGTAACTCAGCTAACATAAGGAAACTCCAACCCAAATACCAATGACGGTACAAGTGTATGTTCTGTTTGGAACTTTTTCAGCCCATAGCTATAAAAAGCTCACTTGTTCTTGCACCTCTTTGGAATGGACACATAGTACGTGTTTCTCTGCTGTCAGTAGAAAATAGAAAAACAATATAAGGAGATATAGGGCCAAAGAGATACTCCTTACTTTAAAGAGCCATCTTTAAGAATGACTCTGTGGCTTGAACTGGTACCATACTAATTCATGCAAGGCAAGTCAATTTATATGGCTCAATTCAACAACAAGGCAATTCAAAGTGCTTCACACGATACAGTAAAAAAATCATTTGAAGGTCAGAGAGGTCAGGGGTCAGAAATAACCATATTGGAAAAAGATATTTAAAATCATTAAATGGTGACATTTAAAATCACTGGAACGAGCTGTTAAAATTAAAGCAAGTAAAGAAAAAGAGAGAAAAAAAAGCAAAACACAAGGTTTAAACATGATGTGGTAAGAGTTTTAAAATAGAAGCATAAATGTTACAGGGCAGAGTTGTGTGATAAAAAATAATTTATTCTGTTTGCAGTAATCAAATCAAAGTCAGCTGAGTCTTCAACTAAGGTTTACAAAAACTGAAAATTTTGGACTGGACACTTCTGCTAGTTCTCAATAGTTGGAGCATTAAAAATTGATCACTGCTTCTCCATGTTTGGCTCTGACTCTGGCAACAGAAAGTAGAACTGCACCAGAGTGGTCTGTATGGTTTAAACCGTATGAGAAGATCACTGATGTATTTTGGACATGCATGGTTTTCCCTTTAAATATCAGTTTGTATTTGAAATATATTTCTTATAGATCCTTGTGTATCTGGTATGTGAACACAGTCATTGGCAAAGAATAGCTGCGTTTACATGGGCACAAATAATCGGAGTAAAAATGTGTCATGTAAACATGTCGATCAGAAGATTCTGATCCAATTGGGCTCAATCGGAAATAAATTGTATTCCGATCAAGAGGGGTGGTTTATGCCGATGGTTACTCCGAAACGCATCCATGTAAACACTTATTCCGATCATGACTCTCTTAACTGACTCAACCTTCACTCTTTATTTATTGAGGCCAGTACAGGAGGTTTAGTTATTAACACTCTGGCATAAAACACAACCGCAGGTACTGTGTCTGCTCTTCTGATAACATAACAAGGCGTGCATACAGAGTAATGATGTCACATCTGCACGCACAGAGCAACCTTTGACAGAACAGTAAAATAAGTACGCAAGGGCGCCATCTAGTGACATCTAACAGGGGGGAAAACTCCTGAATTGGATGGAGTGAGCCACTACTGAGTTTGTAGGTTTGTTGACAGCTCAGGCGTAAATACAACTCTTCTTCTGCGGTTGTTTTAGCGAAAGTCGACAACTTAGCGCATGTACAAATGCTTCTAATCTGAATAAAGCTTGGTGCATGTATACGTACGTCATGATTGGATTATTTGAGTTGGCACCCATATAAACAGTGGATTCAGATTATCTGATCCCTCACTTTTTTATTGGATCAAGAAATTTTGTAAACGTGGCTAATGTGTTCATTGTGAAATAACTGATGAACAATAGAGGAACCGTCAAAGTTGGTGAAGCTCAATGGCTCAAGCTGGTCCAGAACTCTAACTCTGTTGACGACCTGAGTCTCGTAGTTTGGAAGTTGTCACTTATGTCACTTACATCTGCATTCTGTTGTTTATCAAAATGAGGTATAGGCATCATTAAATTGTAGCACGACTTAATCTCATCAGCAGACACTGCCACAGAGGTGGGCTGTATGAGGTGGCATGCCAATTAGCAGCTTTTGTCAGTTAGATGAGTCCTGCTAATCAGCAGTTTGATGCTTTTTGAAAGAGACATGAAACGACTACTGTAACAGAGCTCAAAAGGGGGCCAAATCATTTGAGCTCTAACTGCAGCAGCATCAGTCAAACAATGTTAAAATATTTAACAGGTCCAGGGGAAGAGTCTCCAAAATCGTGACAGGATATGCCAACACAGACAAACTGCGGTGACAAAGAAGAACAGCAGTCACAATCTGAAACAAACCAACAGGGATATGACACATATAAAGTCTGGCTGTTAGAAGATTTTCCAGTAAGCTAAAAGAGGATCAAAAATAAATCAAACTGAGGGTTGACAAATACTGCTAATTGTCCTGCAATCTCATATTCCCAGCTGTAACACTCTTTGTACTCATAACCCCATTAAAATCTGTGTCTGTGATGTTGTCTATATTTGTACATTCTGTGTAAGGGGGGGCCAAGAATATATGTACTGTGTATTTACAGTGATAATGACATGCTTTATTGCTTGTGTACTGAATCTATACACTGTTTTACATAGTTTCTGTGTTACTGATTAATTGAGGCAGTGCGCCATATGCTAAATAGTTAACAAACAGAAGATTGTACACAACTGTGTAGAAGAGAAAAGGTAGCATGGGCGCACCAAAGTGCAAACAAAATGCCTGAAAATGTAAGATTTCAAAAGGTCAAACGATTAGATTTAGTCCCGACATCTACTATAGAGTAAAAGGAGAGCCAATTGACAGCCCTTTTCAAGTTGCTCTGATATTTACAGCTTCTTGTCAGAATCACTGGCAAAGAGCATCATTTGACCCAACAAAGATGAAAAACAACCTTGCATAGCTTAACTGCAACCTCTCAAGTTTCCCCTGACTTCCAGAGTCAAAAAGTTTTTAAATTCATCTCACTGATACTTCATGCATATTGTCTGGCTCCATTTTTCATTTTTCAAGGCTCAGTTCCTCTGTGTGCATGCTTCTACAAAACTTATATTGGGGGGAATTTTTTTCTTTAAGTTTATCCCACCAAACTGCAGCTTATAGGTACTTTCGGTTGTTTTTAGCAGATAAAATCAACAAGAAGACAAGTTAACCCAAAACAAAGTCGATGCAGGGCTATGAATTTTCCCCTCCTTCAGCTCCAGCGAGGATAAAAACTAATTATGCTCTGTCTAGATAACTTAACTATTTTCTCTTTTGCAACTTTGACATTTAACTTTCCCCAAAGCGATATGCCTTTGTTTACAAATGGTATCATACTCTGTTCTTTCCTATTTTTTCCTGTATTACATCCTGTTTCTGAAACCGCTTCTATCAATTTAGACTGAACTACATCTTGTACTCTTGAGTCCACTTTGTATTGGTTGTTGTACACTAACCGCTGACAAGCTCTTATGCAAATGTCCCAACGTGCCCCTTGATATTGTAGGCTTGTTATGTTTATATAACATCAGACTGGCCTCACATTGCACTATGGTGTTTACATTCTGGGCTGTTTCTTATCGGCAGGCACAAATTCCTCCCTGATACAGCTGGGGAGAAAGAACAGAAAAAGAGACAGATGCAAGGGTATGTGCTACGTTCTCCCTGGCTTGCCATCCTCTGTCAAACTCAGAACTGTGCTGTTGCAACTACTCTGGATAGGATGGCTTTAAGAGATGTGACTAAGGTGACACATAGTTGCCTCTACCTGGAGTTTGAGTGTATCTTGAGACTAGAATTTTTTTGTGCTGGGTCACAGCCAAGATAATAGTTAAGTCTGACATTGGAATGTTAAAGCTGAACTTGTTGCAAAACTAAAACTTCCCACTGTTTCTTTTTTTAACATCTGCAGGTAAGTACAGATTCTGCTCATAAATGAGGAAGTCATAAAATTCAAGGACTGTGTGCAACCTGACCACTGATGGTGTCTCATTCCTCGAAAAAGTATTACTGATATCTTAACAATTTTTTTGTGTGGTTTGGGGAAATTTCTGCGTCCAAACGTAAACCATGTGTCAGTGTTTTTTCTGCTGTGATGTTCAGGTCACTTAGAGACACAGTTGATCCTGGTGCTCTCTGATATTTCTTGCACTCAGTGATTTTCACAGCACAATAATTTGTAATTGTAGGCAAAAAAGGCTCCACACACACACTGAGCGTATCTTTAACTGCATTTGGTTATGATAATCAGTCAGGAAGTAGATGTGAAGTGTCTGCACTGATTCAAGGTTATCAGAAGTGTTCACAGATAATCTCTGCACGTGTACAATTGGTTTGATCATCTAATGAATTAAATATAGCCAAGTGGATTTGCCTTTTGAAGCACTGATTTATAGTTATTCCTAAAAAACTAACAGAAGCATTTCGAAGAAATCTCTGTACCTTTAACTGAATATTACCAAGAAATAAAATAGACACAGGTGGATTTCCGTTTTGCAGCACTGATTTATGGTCACTACATCGATGGCGTTTCAAGATGTCACAAGGTTAAATATTCAATCTCTGCAGCATTACCCTGAAACAAAAGTGTTTGGTGATACGTTTCATCATTTTAGTGCAGAAATTTTTACTTACAAGAAATTTTATCTAATTTTAACAGCATGATACTAGTATTAGCCTATAACACTCTGAAAGCAGCAGCACATATAAACACATTATTATTGGGTTATTACAATCTTAAATAAATACATAATTATTTTCAAATCTAAATAATTTACTGATACAACAATTTACTGAGCACATTTAACCAAAATATTACCTTGTTCTTACATTTACATCACTTCTTTGTTTTTACACTATTACCCCAGTATTACATCTTATTGTCATGTTGTAATATTCAGTTATTACTTTGGTTATTACATGTCTTTTCATTCATATAACCTTTTATTATCACACTAATATTTCCGTACAGCACTGTGATTGTTATTTGATTTTGTCTTATTTTTCTTTATTATTTTTGAAGGTAGTTAAGTGTGCGGCGCTTTGGAGCAAGATACATTTTTTTAAAGGGGGCAATTGAGTGAATTCTCCTGTGTGCTATCATTTTATACAGTATTGCGTTGTAATATATCGTGTTGTAATGGGTCATATTGTATCCAATTGTGCTGTGCTGTATTTTCTCCTCACATATTTTGCTTTTTTTGCTATTTTGATTACTGAAAGTGTTCAAATAATTTGTGATAAAACTGGAGCATTTCAACCATGTTAGATAAATGTTGTTTTTATATGTGAATACAGTACATCTTAAACCTAATGACCTATCAGTTGAAAGTGTAGCTCATCTGCCATAATGGAAGGATAATATGCCTGGATTCTGACTAAAAAAGATGTGCATTAAAACACGTACACTTCCATTATTCATTGAGTGTTACGCCACATCAACTGCCTCTTGATTTGAGATGAACATATTTTGTTCGATAGAAAAGTGTGACCTTACCAAAACAATCTGTTCAGAGTCACAGACAAAATCCAAAGTATCTGACCCGTGTGAATATTTATGATGAGCTTCCCTTTGGGTTTTAAAGGCAGGATGGAGAACCTGCACACTCTCCACAATCTCCTGAGGGAATCTGTGGGTCAGGTTTGAACTGTACTTCCACTTATTTAGTCTGCTGTATCTGCCAAAGTTCACATCACTGCAAAACCCTCCTGGAATCGTGTAAGGTGAGTGTTGAGTTGCCCGACATTCAGTCTGTTTCAAAGATACAAATGTCAGACTTGTAAACATGGTTATTTAATTGTAATCAATGTGATGAATTTTGTCAAACCCCGTCAGAGAACCTTTTAAAACCCTATGAAGGAGTGTCTTTTGGGCTATTATATGACACTGCAAACAGCTACAAAAATAACCTGGTATTTACAACAGAGTCTGCGAGATAAGTTCATTTAACAGAGAGGATACAAAATGTTAACTGTCTTCAAAATCTGGCTTTTATTTCACCTTCATCAACTGAAAAAGCAGCAAAACAACAAAGCGAACATAATGAATGTCACTTTCAGTGGGTGGATTAGTGTAAAACTTTTACTGGCAAAAACCCTTTACTCCACGGCACTTTAATTACTAAATGTAGAATAATACTCTCCCTCTGGTTAGAAGCCTGAATTGATTCTGATTGGAGAACTGGTCCAACTCTTGCCTGCAACACCAACCCTCAGTGGTCACGCGACAGCTAATGAGATTAATGGAAGGATTAACCTAAATATTTCTCTATTTTTTAAAACCTGCAATTACTGATTTTTTGGACACTCGTGTGCAGTGGGAACAGCACTAAACAAATTATTTCCTTTTTTAATGATAAAACAAAAATCCTGTTTGTAAACACAAGCCTCTTTTTTTTTTTTTGACAGAGATTACACCCTGATGCTGAAACCCAGTCAGGTGCCCTGGCTTTTTTACATTAAAAAGCCAGGGAACAGGCACTTTGCTGCCAGACTAGGTTTCATTTATGCCTCGGTTGGCTGCTAAATGATCCCCACCCCCTGCGCTGTCTTTGAACCTTTGATATAAAAAAGCAAGGCCCGACAGCCGCCTTTAGCAGGCTCTGTACAAGAGTCTACTTGAAGCTCTTTAGACCTTCACTTTTGGAAGGAAACCTTATAATCCCCCCAAAATTTGGCTTCAAGTTAATATTCTTTCCTCTTTTGGGTGTTTCTGGTTCCCACCAAGTGGTAACCCACAGTTTTGAAAATACTGTGTAGTCTGCTCCATGTTCACGGCATACTGAGAGTTGACTACTTTGCATTTTCAGAGTAGTGTGGACCTGCTGTGTCTGTTTTGTTTCCTTGTGCATTAGCTGTGCTGCAAAAGGACTTTTCAGACCACACATCAGAAGTAAGGGGCACTGACTTTGGTGCTAAAATCCTGTAGCCTAAAACAACACCAGCAGCACTTGAAGTAAATCTAGAAAATAAGAGTCACATGAACATACGTGTCCCTGGAGGCCTGGTTGTGTGCATTAAGAAAACAATACACTTACTAATGCTAATATGGGGCTCTAATCAAACGATTACACAAGTATAAATGCATCTGGAAGTCCAGATGTGTGCATCACGAACATGACACACATGCACAAACATATACAGTCTTACAGCGACTGCTTTTTTTTAACAAAATATCTGTTGGGGTTCAGGTGTGCTTGCATCTTTGACTTGTTAATTCATCAGTCTGGTTGAGAGTTAAAGGTGATTTATTATTCAGAAAGGAAAGAAAACTTACAGTCTCAAGGTCCTTACAGATCGGGAATGACACAAATACACGACGCGAAATTATGGAATATTGGAGGCGAATTTTGACGTGCCTGACTATACACATCATGCCCGATGCGATTTTGCGTCCCGGGTGAAAGCGAGAAGACTGACTCTCCACAAGTTGTCCTTCAGGTCGTTATCTTTGTAATATTTGTGTTTTTTATCAAAAAGCACTCTGTTCTCCGACACGTAAACAATCAGCCGGTTCGCCATGTTGGATAAACCGGTGAATCTGGCGTCGCAACAACAAGAAATCTGATTGTTCAGAAGTGGACACACAGTATGCAAAACTTTAGAAAATGCGACGGTGATACGAAAAAATAAATGCCGTAATATCGCAGGACAGGAAAACGTCGCTCATGTGAATGCTTGTATTGACAGGATACAGGTTCGAAAAAAAATATTGACGTCCGAAATAATCGCACGAAATCAATCACATGTGTGCTCACGTGTTTTCTACGCTTGCTAAACCTAATCATGAAAAAGAGTGTGTTATGGTGTAAAAAGCTCTAGGTGTACACAAGCAAATAGAACTAAAACGCAGTGTAACTCTGAGGAAGGAAGCAGATAGTGTTAGAGAGAGACAACAGGGGTTGAATTAACTCAGCACACTGGGCCCTGGTGTACTGAGTTACTCTCATTAGTGTTACAAAGAAAAAGTGCAGATACATCTCTTCACTACAGGGGCATCACAGCTTCATACACCAGCTTCAGACAACAACAAGTAATGTTATTGAGACAGCAGCTGTATTTCACACAGTGGATGTTTGCCACCACCTTTGCAGATTTGTCTCTAAGCTGCAGTGTAGTACACTATGTTCAGCGTGTAGCCACGAGTTGTGTGTGTGTGTATCTTTACCTGACAGGTAGTGTACAGTGGGTTTTAGTATTTTGTTGTCGTAAATGCCTGTCTTCTAGAGCTGTAAACACTGCTTTGAGAGCGGTGAACAAACAGACAAGTTCCAGCCCTTACACACTGAACAGAGAGTCCCTACAGCTTTATATTAAGTAGAACAGGGAGTCTGGGAATAATTCCCTTCAGGTTCAACATTAAAGCAACCCACTTGTGACTAATAAATATGGTAACCAAAGATCCCAGTTAGTCTACAATTTTTCCAGCTGCCTGTCTCAAATACTCAGTTTTCTGACACAAATAGTTTAGCTTGTTGGAGGTCTTATTCATCTATGGAAGTTCTTTATGAGGAATAACAAAGATCTTGAGTTTAGTTTAAATAGGTGTCAGTCAGTGTGATGTTGGAGGTCGACAGCCTATAGGCAAGCCCATAATAGGTACTGGTCTAGCTCTTTCTGACAAAACCTGTTATGTCAGTACACTAACAATAAGCTGTCACACTGAGAAAATGCACTTCTTTTTTAGAACTTCAGAGGGTTTTCAATTACCTGAGAAAATTACCTAGCAACAAAAATGCTGGGATACATCTTACTTTCATGAGTCTGAAAGAATACTGTACATTGGTAGACGTTAAGTCCGCGACTCTGCTGGGAATAGTGCCGACTTCAGCTTCCACCCACACTCGAATAAAAGGGGGCTGAAGTTTCATCCAGCTATACAGTCTGATTTTAGCTCCTATAGGACAAAGCCACTTCTATTCCCAAGACCTTCAAAGGCTCTTCATGTGATGGATGTACCACAAATGGATGGCCGTCAATGACACTCAAAGGATAGTCTTACCTGCTACCCTTAACAGATGGAGGGTTGACGTGAAGCTCGTTGACCAAATGTGAAACGCAGAAAACAGTCAAAGGTCAAACGGCTAATATAAGGTTTTACAACATCTTCAACAATAAATGAAGAACTTCCTGCTCACCCATGGCTTTTCCACAGAAAGTGGAACAGTAAATTTCTCTTTTTATGACCGTTTCTGATTCCCACAAGACAGGAAGAAACTG